CTTGAAAGAATTTAATTGGAGTAATAGCAAGATCCAAGACTCCAAAAGGTCCAACAATAAAGTAGGCAGAGTCATGAAATTGAAGGGTTGAATGACACAGTAAATACAATAATCCTTCAGTGGATATTGCTCACCAGGTGACAATTTAATAGTAGTAACAATAACTAAACCTCCCAAGCACTCAACTTAGGTGTTAAATGCCCAAGGGATATATAAATTTCATTGAAATATTTAGCTTTTATTTATCCACACTCACACACTGCACATGTATTTACGATAGTTAGCAATTTGACGCAATCAATTAGCACGTTTGATAGAATATAAAATGTATAATTACGTCAATATATTATTGGACATTTAATATCATAGAATGTCTTCTTGATCATTTTCAAAAGTCAAATGTCATGATAATAAAACTTCAATAATATTACGACGTAGTATATATAATAGTGATGTATTTCAAGAGTAATAGTAATCGTAGTAGTGGAGATGAGGATACCTAGTAGTAATAGTCAAGGCGGAAAAACGGATTAATATTCATATATATTAATATTGATTTGACATATCAAACATTGTTGTATGACTATTAGCCACTTTATTTATTATGATATAAATATTAATTATTCTCTTTTTTTTTTTATTGTCATCACAATAATAACAATAACCACAACTAAAAATGACTAGCAAATGCAAGAAATAAATATTTAATAATTTACAGAATAAAATGTTGGTGTTGTTAAATAAATGAATGTCTGTATTCAGGAACCAGGAAATTGATATTTGACGGAATTGTATAGAGACGCAAATGTGCAAGGAAATGGCTTAACGAGCGATGATTTGTGAGGCAAGATCTGCTAGCATAAGAAAAAAAATATACTTGATAGTCCCTCATATTGCACATATCTCCTCACTACATGTTTATATTCTCTCATTCGCGTTTATTCTTGAGGGATTTAAATCGACAACTTGGCTTCGCCATTTTTCTTTTTGACTTTACATATTTAATTTATGCACATACCTAACGTTCCCCCCATACACTTAAACATTTTTTTTTCATCACTTTTTTTTCCTTTAAACCAAAACAAATTACTTATCATACATTTTCCGACTTTCTATTTGAATAGATTCATCATATTGATGTTGGAGATTTAGTGATTTTCCTAGATGATTGATTCCTTTCGTTTGACTTGGGATAATAAAAGGTGGGCTGAGGGTTGGTTTTAGTAAAAACAATGCGGATGTTTCTTGAACTCATTCAGATAAATCTCCCACGTGCGTTATTATATATACATAAAACGCGTGCTCAAGAGGAAACTTCTACGGTTGGCTTAGCAGCTCATGATGCAAGTGGTTTTATAAAAGCAGGTTCCATTCATTCATGTTCTAAGAGAGTTTTAACAATTCTACATTCATGTATAGTCGATCATTTTATCACCTACATTAGTCAATCATATTCACATTTTTTGTTCATGATGAATAAAATTTTATTTCATTATGTTTATTATCTCCAACATCTTGTTATGCACTTTTGATGATTATTGATCAAACTGGTGGATATTTTTTGGTGTAATAACAAGTAATGGTGACTCCAATTGACACTGGATATTGATTTAATTAATTAGTAGACAACAAATGATAATACATGTTGTTTCTAATCAACATCAAGACTCTTTGCTGATCATACTTGAGCTTTTGGCGGGAACAGTACATGTTCTAATGATCTAGTCATATTTTATTGTTCATCTGCAACATCTTCATTCAATTTTCATCATCAGAAAACACAGGAGTCTTTGAAAAATCCAATGCTATTTCATTTTTCTATTCTAACATCTCCAACGTCATCAATATCTTCATTGGTTTATCAGCATTGAAAAGTCCAGAAGTCTTCAAAAGGATCCAAGAATAAACTCTTCCAACTGTCCTGCAAGTTAAATAATAATATCCAAGTGAAAAATATTACCCATTAAAATATTCTTTCCAATAATTAACTCATTCATTAGCATCACAGGGTCTTACCTCTTTAGTAGTAAACAAAAACTCAACAACACAGTGTAGCTATAGATGTGCAGAAAAGTGTGAAAAAGGATAATAATATAGTGTTACCGGTGCATTATACACACGTTGTATAGACGAGTGAAAAGAGAAGAGCCACGCGCAAGGATACCCCACACTAGGATATCTCACCTTGTTATATTGTGTTGTTACATTGTTACGTACGAAAAATACTCTTTCGGCCGAATGCTCAGCATCCCTGCATGCTCAAAAGCTTCACGCCCTTTCTTTTGATTCAACTCCGTTCGGTCCAGCACCTTGGAGACCATGGGGGGTTGTGCTGGAAATGAAAAAAAAACCTTTCCCACTTGAAAATTGGAGTTATAAAAAAAATTAATAAGTCATTACACAAAGACCATAATTACTCCAATTTCAAAGAATAATTCTATCAACACTTCAACATGTTTCCACATCAAGTCTTTCAACCATCATCATGCTATTTTTTGATGATCTAATTTTTAAAAATTAATTAAAAATTTTTTTCTGCCAAGGGATTGTTTCTTCCCTTTGCTGGGATTGGAGTACTTTTTCCTCTGGAGAGATTGTTTCTGGTCATTTCCTGAACTGCCCCTCAAATTTCTAGCCATTTGCATTTCTTCATGATAATCACTAGAAGATCTAGGTTTGATGAACTGGAAGAATCATCATTGATTGTTTTCAAGCTTCGAAAGCACCTGAAAATATTCAAAGTCTTGAATATCACTTTCCGAAGCAATCTTCTCTTTTCTTACCTCTAATTGTGGACAGGAAAATGATAAAGATTACCTGGATGCTATCAAGTGTTATTTCTCCCGTTAATTGGCTTCGTCCTGTGTTGGATGTAATTTTCGTCTAATGTAGCAATGAGCTTATCCATATCAGTTTTACGCTTAACAGTCACGTGTGTCCTTTGAAGTCTACTTTGCTGATAACCATAATGTCTCTTATATGTAGCAGGAAACTACCACATTTCATTAGCATATTCGTCGAGACCGTGAGAGACTCGTGCATACATTTTTTTTCCTTTCGAACCTGCATAGAGTATAAAGAAATAAAACAAATAACTAAAAGAGGAAGAATTAGGGATGAATATTTGTTATGTACCAAAAGCTAAGGGTTGACATCACTCAATCCATCATCTTAGGCTGCCTTTCATACCTCTTCATCATTGAATGTTACATTTGTCTGTTGCTGGTGATGTTCAAGTTACACTTTGGGAATAAAGATATTCAAAAAATGGTTGAGATTTTATTGTTACATTAGAACGTTGGAAAATGATTTTAAAAAGCAAAGCATGCATAATGAGTCGCGTGTACTGAACTCGTTGGGAATATTAATAGATTTCACGTGTGCTTGGATGTATATTCTAATTTATGTACTCCAGGATCCATATCAATAGCTCTCTGGTGTTGAAAACATACTCCAAGCTGACTGATGCTGAACAAGAAATTATTAGCTGTTGATACACTTGATGATCAATCTCATGAACACATTCATTGAAAACATTCAGTACTAACCAAGCACATATTTCTTTGCTGTAACCTAGATTTTTTTAATATCAAATAAATCATACTAAAGACAATCCTACAGACAAAACTGTGCACCAAGTTTAAATGACGATTATCTTTGTTCATAAAACTATATCACCATGGTAAAACAGTCCAATAGGATCTGTCAAAATACTATTAAAACCCAGAAACATTTTATAAAAATGTATCAGTTCTATCAGAAGGTAGCGTGGTTCAGAAAAGCTCCAAAAAGTCCTGAAATTATTGATAAAATATTGGTTAATTATTAAAAAATAATTATTCTGTTATAATAACACATCTGTTCTATCAATACATGTGGATACATACCTGGAATTGATCTTGTTTGAAGCTAGACCACGTGTTTCTATATGAGATTCATGTCATCATCATCATCATCATTGGATAGCTTTGTCTCCCAACCAAGTACGATTCTTCCTATCTTTCTGTGCTGTTTCTTCTCAAGAACAACCAGATATATGCTAATCTTCTAGACTAACCCTTCATGAGCAATGAGTTTCGTAGACTTCACCTGCGTATCCGGTTTTATGTCCTTTTCATCACAACAATACACTTCTTTTCGCTCTATTCTATTTTCTTCTACCGGATTCGCATTATATGTATGGAAGTATTTCATTGCAATAACTCTCATTTTCATATATTTATACTCCAAGTAAATTTCATTAGCAGCTTATCAGCAAGATTAAATATCATACAATGTTAGGTAATAAATACTTATTATTCTTGAAAGATTGATTTTAAAATAATTGTTGGTTAGAATAAATTAGCTTGGATTTGTTGATAGAATAATAGTTGATGTTGGATTGAATGAATATAAATGATAATAAAACAATTAGATAAATTATTTCCAGTTCATGAACATCAATTCCGTTGGTAGATTCAGTATAAGAATGATGATGATGATTTTTGGTTGATGGCATGTAACCTATGCAAACATAAGGAAAGAAAAATATTTGCACGGGATACGCGGGAGCCTCATTATCGGGGTGACTATCTTTGTCATTAGAATAATTTTCATCCAATATGTATATACATTTATCTTTTTCTATCATATTCGTTATGTATATATTTTTCTTAAGTAAAACGGTTATCCAGGTGCGTGTGTACAGAAGGAGAGAAAGGGAGATTGATTCGACATGCATAAATTAGAGAGAGGATAAACCTTTATTCGATGTCTGTACGTGTCAGGGATTGGGAATTTGGATTTAAAAGACAGAGATAGACACATTGACAGGATTATAAATTGATGAGTGTAATATTCAAACGATTATTCATTTGAATAAATTTTATTTTATTCCAAGACATATACTGCAAAATTAACCCATAGAGAAATCCAACTATTTCCTATTATGAAAATAATCATTTTTTTTTTAAAGGAAAATTTATTTTTTAATTTCATCAATTTTTTTTTTTTTTTTACAGAAGACGAAGTCGTTCATCATCGGACTGTGAGTCCAGTGTGGTTGGTAGTGTAGCAGACCAGCAAGGATATACCACCTTAGCTAGAGGAGACTCCGCAGAAGAGGAGGATCAACAACGAAGCCAAACTGATTCCAACGACCCTGAAGAGACCCAGAAGAGGGTTACGGCAGTCCAGGTGCAGGGTATGGAGGGCGATTGGAGAGCATACTGCGAGCATCCTCTGTCGGTGGCTACCGCGGCGATGCTCAATCTCCAACAACAACATCAAGTCTCTGCTGTTTCTGGTCATCCTGAAGAACAAACTGTTCCATATGTCTACGAGTACTATAAGCTTCCTGAAAAGTCTGCTGATGTTAAACTTCCACCAACTCATGAACTCTGGTCAACGTAAGTATATTCATTCATTTTTATTTAACATTTCCATTATTTATATCATTAACAATAGTTATTTTATTTATTAAAGAAAAAAAAACTAGCCAATCTAGCCTGGTTACACCTGGAATTAAATTGATCCTCTTTTAGAAAATTAATTACACAAATTGGATAAACAAATCAGTGAATATTCACTGATAATCAGTGATTGAATTGCATTGGAAATCAGCAAATAATTACTGATTTACAGTAGTTTTCACTGATTCAGTATAAAAAAGCACTAAGTCAGTGTATATTCATTAATTTTCAGTTATAAAACCATTATTGTTCAAATTAGTGCTATTTTTATCACTGCCAGTAGCAGATATCCATTGATTTTTATAAAGTAGGATTCTAACCTTAGATAGGCCTCCCTTTGAAAGATAAGTCAAATGACTCACCAAAAATTAAGTGTATTTATTTCACACTTTAGGACATTTAAATATTTTTAGAAAGTATATGTAGATCAGTGAAAATCTTGAAAACGACTGCAGAATCAGTGAATATTTATACCATCCTAGTTCTCACCTATCCATAACCTATCTAAATGCTATGATGGTTAAGTGGAATGTAAAGATAGTGGTGTGACTGATGAAAGTAAGAAATTTTTCAGCTTTGTGGGTTTTTTATAAGCCAGGTAAAAATGGGAGTTTTCAAGGGACTGGAAAATTTCTAGGCCTGTCTGATCTCCAACTTATTACATTTACTGATGGAAAACTCTACATAATTACTCATAGCAAACACTAGAAAAGTATTTAGGATAAACAGAATGAGAAAAAAAAAATTACTTAACTCAAAGTCTGTGAATAATTGTGTTAGCTTGAGTAGAAGCATCACCAATTTAAAGAAGCAAAGTTGACAGATAAAAAATGTATCAAAGCATCACTAAATTCTACAAACGTTCAACAATTTTCACGGTCCATTTGATGCGTTTGCAAACTATCAAAAGGAGATCGCGTGCAATGTTTTGACAAAACGGTTGTACCTGAAGTTGAAGAAATAATGTTAGGGTTTCATCTTATATATTTTGGGTACTGAATATCCAAAAGTTCTATTCTAACTTTTTTTTTCTTCTCTCACTCTCTCTCACTCTCATAAGACCCCCCTTATGCTGCTACATAACGTCTCGAGGTATATTTTTGATTTATATCAGTAACTTAGCATAATTTCTAATTTACTGTTGAGAAATTTAACGTACAAAACTCTTTTATTGAGGTTTAGTTTAATACTGTAATCATCATGACAATTGAATTCTATTTTTTTTCCTTCTTCATTTAATTAATTTTTTTTTTTTGCTATATAACCTTCACAATAATTAACCTAAAAAATTCATTAAAAAATTTTAATATCATGTGACAGATAATTAAATATTGTATAGAAAATTGTTTATTTAAATGAAAGAAAAAAAAATATTTTCATTAAAAGACAATATGTAGGATCATTTTTTTTTATTTTAAAAAGTAACAATCTGTTTTATCAAATTTACCCATCTTTTACACTCAAACATTACCTCACTCTTTCTCACCCCTTGATAATATCTAAACGATTTGTACGAGAGATCGAATCGCTCAAGCTGGTTATATCTGTTTTGTGATGTGCTACCCTAGATCAACATCTCTGCTGTCTGATGTCAGTGACAATTTTAATCTAATTAATTATATCAATATTATTTATTTAAAAATATTTATCAAATCTACTCTCTTAAATAAACACATAATTATTTAATTAAAATGATCAATAATTAAACTTAATACAACATTTATAACAATTAGATTTGGTAGAAACAATCAAAAACTTTTGTCTATTGGATGACAGGTGTTGTTGATGAATTAGGTTAACATCAACATCTCCATGTTGTTGTAAATAATTATAGATAATTTTAAATATTTAAATATTGTTAATAACAATTTTTGTTTTGGTATAAACAAATGAAATACTTGCCATTGTTTCAAATTAACTAAGAATTAGACTCATAGATGTTAGTGGAAATACTCCGATGCTAAGTTCATCATGTGGTCAACTCTAAAGTGCGTCCAGACCCATTTTTTATTCTAAAATGAATGCATAGTAAGATAGGGCTTAAAATAATGGCTACTAGACTAATAAACTCACCGTATCGTCTGATGAATTTTTAAGCTGAAATTTAGGATGGAATAAATATCCGTTGAAAACAAGAAATACTAGTCTATGGATGTAATACACAAAGTGACCCCGTTGTTTCTAAGTAATTACATATATTACAATATTATTATTCATTCCCAGTATTTCTTTTATATCTTTCCGCATTTTTTTTATCGCTATTTCATTACTATTATTCTACAGATATCATAATTATTTTTTATATCAATTTTTTTGGTTTTCTTTTTTTCTTCACTACAGTTGTCACACATGCGTAGTGACATCCGTCGGCAGTCATCGTCCGTGTTATAGTTATATAGTTGGTAACACGAACAGTGCGAAATATCAGCTTACATTTACGTCTTTACAAAAAAAAAAAAAGGAAAAATTAATTTTAAAATCTTGAAAATAATTTTATTCTTCATTTTTCATGAATATTATTTTATTAAAAATAAAAAAAAAAAAAAATTTATTTATATAAAAGAAAGGATTTAGTATAATATAGAAATTTTTAACCTCTAAATTACGTAGTACTTGAAGAAGTAATACATAAAGGACTAGTCCTGGTCACACAAAATTACAAGATTTGTGGAATTTGAGATCGTAAATTTAAATAAATGACTCGAGTACACTCAGCTATACGTGTTGAGCATAAACTTCATGTTGTTATCTCTTTATTTTATTTTCTACACCATAGTTTTTATTTTTATTATTACATACTGTCGTGAAGCCTGTTTCATTTTATAACGTGACACTGTCCGAGGACGAGGATCAAAAGGGCATCAGAGCATCCGCGTGTGCCATTATACTTTATAGGTTATCTACCTTTACAATTACAGTTTTTACTGGAAATTTTTATTTTACACTAGAATTTTTTTTTTGTTCCTATTAAATGATTAACTGCAATTTTGTTTTAAACATTTTATTTCTTTGGTTCTATAACTAATCGTCATTCAGGTTTCTATGAAGGTTCTCCATATCATGACCATCAACGTCACCTTTTTGATAGAAATAGAAGATTAATTAAAACAAATTGAAGCTATTTTTATTCAATCTCCAATTGCAAATCTAAGTGTTTAGAAACTAACTACTTGAAGTGTTTACAATGTTAAACGTCATAAACAAACTATAGTAAATTCGTATAAAAATAACACACTACGATTAAAAATGTTTAAACCAATTTTTCGACTATGTTGTGATGTTGATGAGTATTATCAACAAGTCCTATGTTTGACAATAAAATTTGCAATACAAAAAATATGTTTATAACCATATTTTGCAATGTAGTTACAGATACATACTGAAGTCCGCCATTGCTAAAAATAACCAAGTAATCGAATCGGTTAATATTTAACGGACGTCAAATTTGTGCTAGTTGGATTAAAAAATGTTAGTTAAAACTTTTAACTTATATACTTACATAAAATTATGTACAAATTTATATAACACATTTTACAGAATCACATACAGTTATACACTATGCGACATAAATAGTGTCGGATTTTTGCAGTTTGTTTTGAGGTTATACATGCGATTCTCTATACCTTCCTATATCAAATTCAGATACCACGTATGTTGCTTCATGTATATATATATATATATATATTTACACATAATTGCACAATATATGATTATAATTATTATAAACAATGATATAATTGTGTATACAGAAGTTTTATAGACGGTTATAAGATCATATGTAATTGAAACACTGAAAGAGTAGAATTGGAGGTTATACAGGGAAATTATTTTTGCGCATGCGCACAAATTATTTCGGAATTAGTTCACAATTTAAAATAATTAATTGCCCTGATAAATAATAACTTAAAATAATAATAATATTAAAATAAAAAAACACAATAGCATAAAATAAATAATTCCCTGTATAACCTCAAAATCTACTCTTCCAGTGTTTTGACTATAGACTCATATATTTATTATAGTTTAACAATTTTAACTGTCACCAATATTATTTTTTTAATCAAAACTATCTATTATCAACATCAGATTTATAGTAAATAATTATTTAAAATTGTTAATTATAATTTATTAAAGCCAAAGTATTGTTCAGTTCATTGTTTATTAATTATCATCATCAACATGGGTATGTTCTAATATTTATGATAGCAATTATTTGTCGGTTTTATTGATACTACAGAGATAAAAAAATACATACAGAAAATAATTTTATTGATATCAAAGTTAAAACAAGAGAGAAAGAGAGAGAGAGAGAGAAAAAAAAAATTAATACTTGAGTGAAAAATGAATTTGTATATTTAAAAAATATCCATATCTTTATTGGTTTACTTAAAGCCAGAATAATAAACATACCAAAAGACTACATCAGATCAATGATAAATGATCAAGTTTAAAATGAATTTGTTTAATTAAAATGAGTTTTTTAGTCCGGCGATTATGAATGGAATTTATTTTAATTATCGATTTTAAGTATCAATAATAATCGAATGGAATAAATGCATAATTGAAGGAGTAGATGAGGTTGAACTATAAAAAAATATCGCGAGACAAGATTCTTTAAGGTCATCGGTCGTTGTATAGTAGTATTCAGTAAATTAGCGATTCCGTTTGTCGCTAAATATAAACTATAAATCACTTGCGTGCGAAAAATCTGCACTTGCGCACCGTCGCTTTTATAATGAGACTTGTATGACGATATTTTTTTTTCTTTCTCTCTCTCTTTCTCTAGAGTCTCTTGGTCTTTTTATTGAAGAAACGCATACGCGACAGGTTCGAGTGTGGGTCAACATGAGGTCACAAGTTATATATCGACAACTCTTCTTGCGGTACTACCGGAATCACTGCTTGTCCAACCGGAAATTTAGCTGGACAAATTACCTTGTCTTATGTAGAAAGGAATTAATCAAGTCACATTAAAAAATACTATTTTACTTGAGTCATTTTTTTTTTATTTCTTCATCTTCATAATTATATTGTTTTAATTGTTGTAACAACAAATCGTCTAACGACTTCTTCATTGCCTCTTCATTATTTTAAGCAGAATTGTCTAGAGTATTAAATTATTAGAATTTTTCCAATTGAGATTCAGCAATTAATTAAATTAATAATTATTAAAATTTTACAATAGCTATTTAACAAAGTACATACCTGCTAGGTATATTTATTAAATAAATTTGTTAATAACAATCATTGTTATGGTGTGTGTGTAGACAATTATTTTAAAGCAATCATTTATTCAATACTTTACTGTTATTGATAATAATGCACACTGAGAAAATAAATTTACTGTGAACAAGAATGATTGTTTTTCAATCATTAAAATCGAAATTTCAAATAGTCGTGATAGAATATTTGATCGTCTAACAACCTTTTCATTGCATCTCAATGATTTTAGATAGAATTGTCTAGAGTGTTGGTTTGTTGTAATTGTTTTATTGGATCCAATATATTGATTACTTTCAAGTAAAGTCTTTTCTATCATCAAAGAAAAATAGATCGACGGAGTTGAACAATTAATTGAATGAATAATTATTTATCAAGACCCATGGTGTCTGGAGAAATAAGAATCAAGCATCATTTGTATTTAAACTTATCATAGTATTGAATCAAGTGACAAGATACCTTTTCCAACCAAACAATCATTCAATCAAATCAAATATTTTATTGCCAACATTTGACATGATTTTTATTAATCAAATCAAAAATTTTTCCATGCAACGAAATTTTGAAAATAATTGAGTCTAATTAAAAGCCAACAGTAGTCGAGATAAAAGAATAACTTGAAAGAATTTAATTGGAGTAATAGCAAGATCCAAGACTCCAAAAGGTCCAACAATAAAGTAGGCAGAGTCATGAAATTGAAGGGTTGAATGACACAGTAAATACAATAATCCTTCAGTGGATATTGCTCACCAGGTGACAATTTAATAGTAGTAACAATAACTAAACCTCCCAAGCACTCAACTTAGGTGTTAAATGCCCAAGGGATATATAAATTTCATTGAAATATTTAGCTTTTATTTATCCATACTCACACACTACACATGCCTGAGTCGTAAAATTGAAGGCCATTATCTAAACTTTATGTTACAAATTAAATCAAAAATTGTTATCACGTATCAACATATTCTTGAAATAGTACATTCAACACTCTAGACTAAAAACCAAGCATCAAAAGATTGCAAGATGAGCTGAAGAAATATAAGATCTTACATAGTTGCACATAGGTGATGTGCATTATTGTGCCAAGTAGTTAACATGTTATATTTAGCATAATAATATGTATTATTACAATGATGTCTACCCTTATAAACTGCCAACGCTTATTTTGGATGATAGTTTCTTCTTCAGGTTTTCCTCAGACCTTTTGCTACCACTTTTAAGACCCCTGACGAATAAATTTCACTCTTTCTCGTCAACTTTACCTTACTCATACCTCCCCCCATCTCTCTTATAACCCCCCTCAACACCAGTTCTAGCGTACCTACGGTCAGATGCTTCGATACAATAGTCTTTTTTTTCATTTGATACCTGATCTCTTACCCTTCTCCTTTACGTCTGAAAGCTCTCACTCTTATGCATCCAAGTTATGTGTATCGTTACGCTGTCTTCGTTTTGTCTCGAGTGTCTTATCCCTCTTGACGCCAAGGGAGCGTGGAATAACGAACAAGATGAGTAAAAATTTTTTTGGTGATGAGAAAAAAAAAGAGAGAGAGAGAAGAAGAGAACATCATAACCTAGAGCTATACTTAAATGCAGTAGGGACCCTATGAATTCGGCTTATATGAAATGGATCCCCAAAAGACTTTCAATCAGTAGGTAATGCGATGCTAATCCGTCGCTTGCTGAGAGATTCAACTACATTTTTACTGCTTTTCATTTATTATTTATTATTTCATAGCAAATCCATACCATGACTTCTCATCATCATCAAAAAAAAAAAAGATTCACTTCCATTCAATTAAATTGTTTTTTTTTCTGGTTTACTTTCCAGGGGAGTGATGGGCCAAAAGCTTTTAGTGCAAGAAAGTTCATCATCAAATCGTTTAGAAAATTCAACCGAAGGTACAGGTAATGGAGAACTTCATCATTTCCTTCATCAATACAATCAGCAATCACCGAGTCCAAGTCAGAGTTTGCAAGGTGGGCTTTCGCTTCCGTTGAGTCCGCAGTCGCTGCGTCATGATGGCACACCGTCTAGTGGAATCACGGGAATTAAGAGAGAACCGGAAGACTTGAGCTCATCACGTGGTGGTCAGCAATCTAGTAAACGTCATAAACAAGCAGATAGTCCAACACCACCTGGAATGTATCACCATCATCAACATCAACTCCAGGTATTTTGTTCCTCCCTCTTTCTGTCAAGTTATTTTAATGTTTATCTTCAAGCTGATTTCTCATGTCTTAATGTTTTATTGTCAGGTTCAACAGCAATATGGAAGCCCTTATGATCCTTACTCCTCGTGTAGTCCAAGATTGTCAGCAGCATATGGAGCAACATCAGGATCATCAAATGCGACAGCAAATGCTGGTACACAGTCTGGTTTACATCAAGAAGGCACAGCAGTTTATGTCACTAGTGAAGCACTTCCTTCTCTTGCATCATCAAGTTCTTCTTCTTTACCAACAACAACAGCATCCTACACACGTTACGAAGTCGTACCAAGTTCATACGCCACCACACACGCGATAAGATCATCTTCTAGTAACAGTAAAGTCTTGACAGTTGATCTACCAAGCCCGGATTCTGGTATCGGTGCTGATGCTGTCACTCCTCGACAAGATCATCATCCACCTACTGCTTTACACACAGTAAAATATTTATTGTTTCCCTTTTTTTTTATCACTAACCAGTTTTGAATAGCATTGTAATGTTATTTTCTCTTCAATAATACAGTCTTCATTCGACTATACGGAATTGTGTCCCGGCGGTACCAACAGTGGTACAGCAGTAGTCCTTGAAAGTGGCACCGTGGTTCACCACCAACCACTTCAGCTCCAACTACAACAGGGTCATGCTCAAGCCCAAGTTCAAAGGAGTCTTGTCAATGCTACTCCAACCAATCCATCAACTCCAAACCCACCAAGATCTAGACCCTGGCATGATTTTGGTCGACAAAATGATGCTGATAAAATTCAAATACCAAAAATGTGAGTGCTAATAGTCAGTACAAAGTAAATTGTTTGGTTAGAACAATACCTTATCTCTTAAAAAAATTATCTCATCAGATAGTTGTAGGAAATATATCTAGATAATTGAGTGACGACATCTAAAACAATTTCTTTTGAAAGATACTTTTCACAGCTATTTTAAATATTGTCTTTTTTTATATTGCTCCAAAATTAAACAACATTACACCATTTTGGTAGAAATTATTTTTTATAATAATAAATAGCATTCATATTAAATGATGTTAATATTATAATTTCATGATCAAAGATGAGGTTATGAACGAGTGACGTCTCGAGTCACTCTTCAGCAATGTAGATAACATCTAACTGTCTGTAGAGGCTTTCGTGAAGCCGTTGTCAAAATGAAAATATCAAAATGATGTGACTGAAACCCGTCCCTGATTAATTGATTCATTTTCCTTCTTTTTATCTTAAGACGCGCCATTTCAAGATCTCAGATCACAGCAGTTTGTCATGTTTAACCTTAACAGTTGGTAACAATACTTGAGATATTTTCTACGCAAATATTTTTTTTTTTGTTTAACGTAACTAAGATATTACTATTATTATTATTATTAACTAGACCTATTAGCTGAAGTATTATTGCGGTAGTCAATCCCGGAATTACTTTAATACCATTTAACCAACCAATTAATTAAAATAACTACTATTATTATTATTTTCATGATAAGTAAAATATCACAAGTGTGTATATACGCAAATCTGATGAAATAATGTCCAACAAATCGATATAAAATAGAGTATGTCCGTTATAGACTAATGTATTATAAAATGTAATAACGAGTGTCGCGCGCGGGCGAGGTGGCAATAACTATATATAGAGCCTTAAGAAATAAAATAAATGTATTGCAAATAGCCGGGCGTTCACCTAGCTTATGAACATATATATATATATATATATACAGACATATAGTTATCGTCTTATCATCATTGCGCCGAGTTTGCATGGTTGGTCGCATTAAAATATTTAAACCCCTCAAACACTCGTTTTCCTGATTATTTTAAATAAACACTAGTGCGATAGTCCTAACTAGACATGGACAAAAATGACAGCCAAAGATAGACCCACTTCCTTTTAGGATAAATAATTTTTTAACGTTGGTAGCATTGAATGTTGGCAAATCAACTAATGAGATAATTTAATCTTCAGATACTCGGCTTATGGCTTCAAGTATCATCTTGAATCACCAATCAGCACATCGCAGCGACGTGAAGATGATAGAATAACGTACATTAATAAGGGTCAGTTTTATGGAATCACTTTAGATTATGTTCCTGATCCTGATAAACCTCTCCTCAAAGCTGGACAGACTGTTAAGGTAATTAATAATAAAATTACAATGATTGTTTATTAATTGTTTGTTTAATATTTAATTTTAAAGTTTTTTTTTTTTTGTTATTGATTGAATTAAAATATTAATAATCAAGTTATATAGCTGATAGAGAGAAAAGAAGAAAGGAAGTAAACTCGATCGTTTGCGCTTAACTAAGTGTAACAAATCTGCGGTTGATAACGCGATCAATCTATATATAACTCTAGCGTTCATTCACCCGAATCACGAAAAATAACGCAATGCAGTTATGTTTTAGTCCTGTAGTCAATTACAAATTATAATCAACATTATAAATCATGTCTTGTGACATATTTATTTGGACTATTTTTATTATATTTTTACATCTTTTATTTTATATTCATATAAGTCTTTGATTATAATCGCGTTACAGTTTATTATTTACTTTTGTTATTTATAGAGTGTGGTAATGCTCATGTTTCGAGAGGAAAAAAGTCCTGAAGATGAAATTAAAGCATGGCAGTTTTGGCATGGACGACAACATTCTGTTAAACAACGAATTCTTGATGCCGGTAAGATATCAATGGTATTCATATACTTTTATTGTTTTTGTTTGAATAAATTTTCATATTTTATGCAATACTTTTTCATCAATTTTATCGTGGGAAAAATAGATTATTTGCTATTGTCAATAAGGTGGAAAATAAAGATTATTTAGCTGCATTGTAAATCAAAGTGTATTATAGTGAACACAGATAATAATATATTACTCAACTAGGGAGGAAAAGTGGACTTTTTTAAACCCAGGATTAAGAAAGATATGGTTTAAGATAGTCTTCTTTGGAACTGAATGTGATTTTTTGTTATATTCGTACGGAAATTTCGACCCTTCTTTAATGGAAAAGTTACTTTTCCACACAGATATGACGAAAAATGGCTTTTCCGCACTAGTGTAATAAAAAAAAGTGTTGAATTCCATGAACAAATTATAGATTTTATATATACTCTGGAATATGCATAAAATGACTATTGAGTTCTACAGTGTGTGTATAAAAATTCCATATTGAGCACACTTCAAGTGTATTGTTTTAATACATTTTGATTTGCAGCGTGTAAAGCTAAATCTTTTATTTAAATTAAATTACTGCTATATAAAACATATATTCTAATGTTAATAAAGATTATTATAACTATTAAATTAAACACCCAATAATTACAATTCTAACCTAAAAATATTGACAATACTAACTAGAACTTTTTGAAATATAAGTCAGACAAAAAGTTACGTAATATTTGAAATAGTTTGAATGAAAGAAAAAAAAAAGTGTATAAAATTTGAAATTGAAAAATGAAATAGGAAATATATTGCTCATAAACCATTACATACCAACTTACATTTAATCAGTTGCATAAAAATAAAAATAAGAGATAACAAATAAAATAAAAATAATATTTCTTGCGCAAGCTGACAGATATTCATTTGCCTACGTAAGGATATCGGTAAGCATTTAGTGTTGAAATTAGCATACTTTATAGATTTTTATTGAATTTTAATAACTACGATGACTTATCAATTACAATTATAAAATTTCATTATAACTTATTTATCATTAATTTTGATTTAATCTTGTGTGTCATTTAAACATTTTTTAGATACAAAAAATAGCGTTGGATTGGTTGGTTGTATTGAAGAAGTAGCACATAATGCGATAGCTGTGTATTGGAATCCTTTAGAATCATCAGCAAAGGTAAATTAATATAAAAAAAGAAAAAAAAAAATATGTACATATAAAATGTAACTAAAATAGAGAGTATATAATTGAAAATATTAATGAGAATGTAAAGAAAAAAAACAACATACGATAATATAAAAGTAAATCGTAGACCATTAATTTACAAGCTAAGTAAAACTGTTAATTTATTTACAGATTAATGTAGCCGTACAGTGTCTGAGCACGGATTTCTCGAGTCAGAAAGGCGTTAAAGGTTTACCATTGCATATTCAAGTTGATACATATGAAGAACCACCACCACATACTCATACATATACACCACCATCTCACCGTGGTTACTGTCAAATCAAAGTGTTTTGCGATAAGGTAAAGTATTGATTATTACCTGAATTATTTGCTTATTATGATTTTTTTTTTTTTTATCTAAAGTTTGTGAAACTTTTGTAAAGATTTCGTCATTTAATTCAATGTTGCTTGATACTAGGGTGCGGAGAGAAAGACACGTGACGAGGAGAGGAGAGCAGCGAAGCGTAAAATGACTGCAACAGGCAGGAAAAAGCTCGATGAACTGTATCATTCAGTGACAGAAAGAAGTGAATTTTATTCAATGGCTGATCTTCATAAGCCACCGGTTTTATTTTCACCACCTGCTGAGCATGCTCTTGATAAAGTAAGCTTCACTATTTCACCTCTTTTTCTTTTTTTTTTTTTTTATTATCAAAGAAAATTATAAAATAAATATTAATAAATAAATAAATTTTTTCCTCAAAAGTTCTCAACCATGGAATTAAGTGGATTCTATGGTGGTGGCGGTGGTGGAGGTGGTGCAGATACCGACACATCATCATTAAGTAATGGAGAAAGTGGAGGATTAAAAACAGGCACTAGTAGTCCTTATCCAGGTTGTGGAAGACCAAGTTTACCAGCACTTAAGTTTCATAATCACTTTCCACCGGACAATTTAACTGGACTTCATGATAAAAAGGATTCACTGCTAATGCAGGTGCAAGAACTCCAGGGTACGGTTCTTCAAGGTGTACCACAGGGTGCTTTACCTGCAGCTAACCTTATATCAGGTGTTAGTAACCGCTTGCACCTGCAACATCAAGGTCCAGGTCATCTTCGTGGTGGTGATGCTGAAGAACGTGTCATGCTTTATGTTAGACAAGAATCTGAAGATGTTTATACACCACTTCATGTTACTCCTCCATCAGTTCAAGGATTGCTTAATGCTGTAAGCAATATTGCTTATTGATCATACAGTAGAGTCTTCATAATTTTGGTCTTCTATTAAACAAACACACTGGAAAGAAAAAAAATATTGCTGTAGGAATTATCTAAAGTATTGCTGTTAGAATAATACTGGATAGCTAAAAGATGTCCCTACTGCTATCTAATATTATGAAGACTCTACTGTATTTATATTTTAATCAAACTAATGGAGAAGCAATTAAATGACAATCATTCTAGTAGGGATATCATACCTAGGATGATAATATTAATATCATTGAAGCTTGCATTTTAAATAGAAATTATTTTTTGTTTAATATTAAATATATATTTAATGTAATTAGTATTTAGATAAATGCACACGTGCTCAGTAAAATATTTTATTTTTATTCAGGCTTGCAGCAGAGAAAACTGGATTTTGGAGCAGTGATTATCATCATTAATACGTAATTTCCTCGAGGTATCAAACATCCAAGCTCCAATTTTCTCTGCTCGTTTAACGGGTGAGTTCCGTTGAGAATAAAAATAAAAATAAAATAATAACTAATTAATTCATTAATATAAATATTTATTAAATATTATTAATTAATGGATGACTCATCAAATTGATTTGAAAAACTTTATTGTAAACAAAATAAAAAAAAGAAAAAAGTCAATGAATTGATTATAAAAATTAATCTTACTTTATATTGCACTGCTAATCACAATAATCGGTGATTTTTGCATCAATTATATGTGAAAAAATCAACACAGATAACTTGAGTCATTAAATGCATGCTTCATTGGTATATTATAGAGTATCGTGATTAATCATGTCACAGCAAATAATCTCTTTCATTCGCTATAATTAATTTATTAATATTTATTTTATGCGCATGGCATCTACCCATTCTCATGGATATTTAATTATTATTTTTTATTATTATTTCTTACATTTACCTCTTCTTTAACACTCTAAATATCCTTTTGTTTAATTGTTATCCATTATTTCATCAGAGAATAACAATTTGTTCTCAAATTATTATCTCTAAATTCAAAATGATTCATTGTCTTTCTTTCAAAACTCAACATTAAATTGAAAGTAATTGAGAAAAAAGTGGAAAGAGAATTTAAATTAGATTTTATTATTTAGTTCAATTAATTATAATTGAAAAGAAATATTTTTTCTTTAAAAGAAAAAAAAAAATTTATAAATTAAAAAAGTGTATTAATAAATTATCAAAATTTTAATATTCTACTTTTTTCTATTTACAGATTGAGTCAAAGTACAAAATTGCATCCTCGAGTATTAACAATCTGTATCGAAAAAATACGAAGGGGTAAGTTAAGTAGAGATTAGAAAATAATGGTTTTTATAAACAGGAAACAAAATGCGTGCTTATTAATTTACAAAATGGCTTAGCAATAATCATCAATTATTAATAATTGCTTATTCATTATTATCATAGCATAAATATTAATATATTTGTAATAATTAATTATAAATGTAATTAACTAAACAAATATAATGAGATGTATTTTTTTTTTCTTTACAATTAATTGTTACAGAATTACAGCGAAAATTGATGATGACATGATACGTTATTATGTGGATGAAGATTTATTTTTATTAGAAGTAAGCCATTCAGCATCTAATTCAAATCAAAATCTTGATCGGAATTCAAGTAATCCAAATTCACCTGATCCTGATGATCCAAATGAATCATCATCAATTGGTTATGATGTTACTTTGATTGAATTACCATCAGTTCAAGGCCAACTACCACCAGCACCATCACCAATTGCTGTTAACTCACATGGACATGTTCATGCTCATTCTCAACATGTTCACGAAATTACCAATTCGTGAATTTAAATCATCATTATTCTTTTATTATTATTATTATTATTATTATTATTATTATTATTTTTTATTTTATTTCATATATTTGTATATAAATAATTAAGCCTCATGGTGGCAATGTTAATAAGAGGATTAGGACCCTTTTAGCAAGTACTTTTTTTTTTTAACAAGTCATTGAAGAAAAAGTTATCATATGGTTTTATATATTCATTGTTGGTTATTTTATCCGCTGAAAGTCGGTTTTGATATTAGTTATGATGTTGACTTTTTTAGAGAGAAAAAATAACAATTAAGGATATAAGATGAATTAAAAAAAAATAATAAAACAATGTGAATGTGGATTTTAAATATGAGATTAAAGTTAATGTTAAGTAAATTTCAGAGTAATTATTTATTATTAAGTTTTTTTTTTTTTATTATTTTTAATTTTTAATCATCAATAATAATTACTCTGGGATTTTTATAAATAAATAGATAATATATATATATATATATATATTAAAAATAAAAAAATATATTAAATGAAGTTTATCGAGAAGAAAAAAAAATAAACAAACCAACTCGTGGATAAATCAATCAAAAATTGATTTAAGTTGATTGTTACTTTTTCTAGCCGTACATTTTTTATTGGATAAAAAATAATTATATAAAAATATACGTAAGTTGGATGACAATTGATTGTTTTGAATGACAAGTAACAATAATATTTTATTATGCCAATAGTAAACTATTTTTTAATCATGAAAGTCAGAATAAATATACACATTTTTCTCTTTTTTAAACGAAAAAAAAAAAAAAAATATATTTGTAATATTTAACACCATAATTAATAGATAAATATTTTGATAATTGTTTATAACTATCGCTTCTCTATAATTCTAAACGAATCATAAAATAATTAACGACAAAATGATTAATAAATCGAATAATCACCAAACCACATACAGACATTATAAATATAATTGGTGATAAATATTAAATTATTTCAAAGATCGTTATCATTACCCATAAAATTGTTAATTCACTGCCTCCTTTTATACGTAATTAACTAATATTGAACAATAATAGCACAACATTTAATCAAAAAAAGAAAAAAAAAAATAAAGGATATTAATGAGTTATTAAGTAATTAATTAAAATACCGTCATTTATTGAACAATTAAATAAGTAAATCATTAATTTTTATAAATGAAATGCCATTGATCAAACATTGTAACAATGAATAGAATTTAAAAATAAATTAGTTGATGGGTAGAATTTATATATATATATATTTTGCAAGAAATATTATAAATATACCGAATATCAAAGCAACGATCAAAATACGCTTGAAAAATGCATATTATTATTGATAATACTATATTTTGTTACATTTATTACAAAAAAAAAAAAAAGAGAAAGAAGAAGCAGCATATAGATATTATTATTACTATTATTATTTTTTTTATTTGGTTATTATTAATAATATTGTATGTAATACGTTAATTGTTATTTTTATACAAGTGTGAGTGTGAGGAACAAAAAAAAAATGTAAAGCATGATCGTGATTATTTGTATGTATGGGGATATTTTTAGGGTAAAAAAAATGTTTTTTTTTTTTTTTACAAGTGAGAATATTATTCAGTAAATAAAAATGTTAAATGATGAATCGATTGATTGATTAAAATGCATGATTATTCTTGATATTTACTGTTTAAAAAGTGATACTGTCCAAGTTGAATAAACCAAAAATCAGCAAAATCAAACTGTACATTAATTAAAGGAGAAAAAAAAATTATTGTTAATGAAAAATTAATTAATCAACGACTTGGGAATATAATGCATTCATTTCTTTACAGATCTCAGATCCATAGTGCAGCAAGAGAAAAAAAATTAGTTGGTTAATAAATTAATTTTGGTGATCAAAACAATTGTTATAAATATATATATATTGTTACAATTCTGTCTTGCCGATATAAAAAAAAAAAAATATTAGCATTAATATACTTTACATTGTCACTTAGAATTTTTGATATTTTCTTTCATTTAAATGTTTTTAAAGATAATTTAAATATATTCATTAAATATAAATAAATATGAATGTATGTATTTACAGAAGAAAAAAAACAACAAGTATGTAGAGGATAAAATGTAATGTTAATTGTAAAGTGTGCGATAACAAAAAAAAAGAAATGATGAAAACAAAATAGTATGAAGATATTATTATGATGTCATGATAAAGTATACTTATATATTAATTAATTTTTAATTATTATATAGTTAATAAATTAAAGAAAAATAATTAAATATAATTGAATAAAAGACAGTTTTAATTGTTTATAGCAACATCTTGCCATCGTGAGATTGTGCCAGAGGTGATATTATATTATTACGAATGTTTAATACCACAATAAAAAACTATATTAGTACGTTTTATAAAATTTCTGATGTTTGTTTATTTATGTATTCCTTCATTTTTTTTTTTTAATTAAAATTCATCTATGAATAAAAATGTTAAAGTTTTATAACGATTATTTGACTCAGTACTAGTGGTTTGTAATTTGAAAATAATTATTTTCAATTATTACTCATCATTAATTTTATGGTTGTTTCCTCTTTCAATGATTTATTATTTTTAGAAAATCAAATCAAAAGACCTTGGTATATTTTTTTAAATATTTTATTTTGATTTAAGGCTAGGCTTTACATCGATTTCTTCCTAGAAGATCCCAAAGAGTAGAGAAAGGATTAATTAATCAGCCTATTTGCAATTACATCCACTGATTTTGGTGTCAATATAAAGTTTATTTCATGTAGAAATTTTATTTCATTTTATTGGAGAGGATATTGTTATCGAATTATCACTAGATTTTTGACGCTTCATGACCGTCAAGAGAAAATAATTGATTATTTATTTTTTATTGAAATTTTTCTCAAAATAATTATAAGCCTAAATCCTTGCCACCTTTTATATTATAAATAAAATTATTTTACATAATAAAACACTGTAATTAAAATGTATTTAGTCAGATGCTTTCTGCTACTGCCAGTAAGGAAAAGATTTCAAGTTCAACTCAGCCTTAAGACTAATCTATCTACGAAGTTGATATAATTACATTAGAATTACTGCTAGAACTATTTTTATTTCACTGCTTAAATTAATGCTATAAAGAATATGTTAATTACAAAAAAAAAAAAACCATATTCATTTTGATAATAACATTAATCAATGAATCAATCATCAATTGTCTTGAAACCAGAGTTGATTAGACATCATTTTCACTTCATAATTGCATCCATCATTTAAGTGAACATTTCAAAATTAATTACTTCATTGATAATTTTTTTGTGTTGTTATTCGACATTATTTCAACAATACCATGCTGTTTTAGACTAGTGTATCAAGACAAGTCAAGTTGTGATAAGAATTTAAAACAAATTTAGCAGAACCATTAGATTTATTTCCTGTAAAACAATTTACCATAATTAAATGTAAATTAATCCACGTTTCTATTGACTCGTTTAATATTTATAACTATTTTCTTTCTTGAAGTAATACCTGTTCTTTTATTATCCTCATTTTCTAATTCAAAGAAATTTATTCCCAAGTCGTATTGATGACAGTATTTCTCCGTATATGTATCACATATAGAGTCTGACTAACACGAATAAATTAGCTACTATACAATAATATTAAACTCCAACCCAAGAAACTCCTCTAAAGTGGGTGGGTGGATGTATATAGATATTTTATGATTGCTTGAGGCTGCCGACCTTGAAGAGGCCACTGGCCCTCCTCTGCTCGAGTAGAGCCAATGAATTCAACATTTATGATGTTTGCACTCTACATTTGGACATAAAGTCGGACAATTATTTATTTACAATCTCTACCAAACCTACAACAATATTATTTCCATGATTAATTACATAAAAATTCATTGGCATCAATTAAGTCAATTTTAGGTTATAAATTAATTACCTTCAGTATGACACAAAAACAAACAAATAATCAATGGCGAATATTTAGCTGCATTTAAAAATGTTTTTCGACTTCTCCTGAGGATATTTTGGGTATAAATGAGCCCGGTTTGACGACTAGTTTGTCCCTTTAACGATTATCCCCCGTGCAACATAAACATATATTTTGTTGGCAATAATGTATAGTGGATATACTAAAAAAAGGAATTGTTTTTTTTTAGGTTAGCTTCCTTCCTTTTTTTTAAGTTCTCCAGGGGATAAATATTTGCTGAAGCCAATCATCAGATCACGCAAATCTGAGTTTTTTTCCCCTCGTCTTCGAGGACATTCTGAAGTTTAAAGTACAGTCTGATTAAACACCACCACTTTAGTTTATATTAAACTTTCTTTTTTAAAGGTTATTTTTATTTTTAAAAAAATCTATTGATGTCATTAATTGAGGTTATAATAAATAAACAGTAATATTTTTGTTTAATTACTGATAAAATTAAAAAAAAAAAAAAATAATTGCAATAATTTAAAACTATTTAAAACTAAAAACAAATTTGTTTATTAACCTTTAAAAAAAATGGTAATCAACAATGGTATATTTTTATTTTAAAACAATTAATGAATAGTGCGATAGGGTTCAAAATTATGGTAATTACACTATTATTTGAATATAATTATTTAACTTAAAAAAATATTTGAAATTTTTTAATTAAAAAATAACCTATTTTTTGCAAACCTTTTTTCTAACTTCAATCACATCAATCCAATAAAAAAAAAAAAAATCACATGATTAAAATCAAACGAACCATTAAACAGCAATCTCCATGCCAGGAAAAAAATTAGATTATCATAATATGTAACAAAAAAAAAAAAACAACAAAAAAATTAATCCTGAAATTTCCATAAAGGCTAGTATAGTAAGTTAATGACACTTTCAAGGCCATAAAAAAATATCTAATGATAATTCTCCTAAGAAAATATCTAGTTATTATTATTTCTAAAAAGGTGTATCTTTATCATGAATGCAGCTTTGGTTTATTAAGAGTCTCATAGAAGAGACAACATAATGTCCTTTGAAGGAAACACACAAAAAAACAAAAGGAAAAATATAAATAAAATACATGTATCAAGGGAAAACAAAAAATAATACCATCCTGAAGAGAAGTCAAAATAAGAAGAAGACGGTGGAGGAAGAAATAAACGTCCAGAATTGTAGGGGAAGCTAAAGAGGAGAAGGGTAAGCCCGTTATAAAGATCGAGTTGACTCGTAGACAGTTTAGTTTAACCGAAGTCTTTTCAAAAGTCCCGTTCATATTATTTATTGTCAAGTTTTGTTTGTACAATTGTCATTGTAAATTCAATCATACTCAAGTTAACAATAATAATAAATCAGTGACAATGACCATGAACTTGGCTATTACCTTTGTATTCATTTTATGTATCATCTATTCCATCGCTAATGATGTTGATGATACTGTCATTATTGAAGGTTTGTTTCAAACAATTCATTATCAATAATTAAATCTAAACAAAAAAAGCAAAACTACCTAACCAGTCTTATGTTAAATTGGAAGGAATTTAAAAATGGTTAGAAATGAAAATAAAAAAATGAAAATTGAAAAAAAAAGGTTGATTTCTGTATGACGATCACGTTTCTAGCGCGTACTGATTCCATGAGTGTAATAATAACGACATTCTTTCTCGAGTAAGAATTTTACTCTGAAGGACAGTGAGAGTTGTTTTCTTCAAAAATATATATATATATAAATCACTTTTTGAAAGATTAATTGCTATTTTATTAAGCTAATTATTAATTATATTCAGTTTCAAGTTTAGATTCTCGTGCTGAGAGTCCTCGTCATCTTCATTGGACAGAGAAAAAAGCTCCCAAAGGAGTTTGTTTAACATCAAAAGGTGAAGTTGGTCATTGTACAACATTCAAAGAATGTTATCCATACTTTAAGATACCTGACCTAGGTGCTCTTGATGGTTGGGTACTAGGGGTCTATGATACTTGTAGTTATACTAAAGATGATCAACGGATTGGTTATGGGATATGTTGTTCAGGTTCTCAATCAACAACAGTCAAGCCTGGAACTAATAGACCCATCATAGAAGATACTCAGGTAAGATGATCATTTATTAGTTGAAAAAATTATTTAATAATCTTTAATTGAGATATTATCATTATTAGGATGAAGAAGTAATCACAAATGAACATTCAAGACCTCCTCTAGGCTTTAAACCATCAATTCCACTAGGATCTTGGCCACCTCCTATACCTACACACCCTCCTGATCACACAATCCCACCTCTCCCAACACACCCATCATCACAATCACCTCACTTGTCATCAACTCCATTCTCAAAACCTCCAACAAACCGTCCAACATCCTCCACCAGCAGGAAACCAAGCTCCACAACCTGGCCGACGAAAAAACCTGGATGGTGGCCGGGTGCTACAACAAGTAAACCCACCACCACCACCATCACTAGCACTCCAGTGGTCAGTTCTCCTGAGTGTGGTGCTAAAAATGGTGATCAAGAGCAAGATAAAAGAATTGTCGGTGGTCATAATGCTGAACCTGGTGAGTGGCCGTGGATTGCAGCACTTTTTAATGCTGGAAGACAAGTCTGTGGAGGTTCATTGATCAGTGATAGACATATATTAACAGCTGCTCATTGTGTTGCTCAGTAAGTGACATTGGTAATTATATAGTTTGACTCCTTCATCCCCAATTTCAATGGGAACGACATACATTGTCAATAATATTTAAATTTAACCAGAAGGATCTGGGTTCAACTTCCGAATTCCCCAATAGAAAATAGATGATACCTCTAGCATTTATATCAACTATTATCATTTATTCATGACTTCAATTTGTTGTCTAGCATGAATTCATGGGACGTAGCAAGATTAACTGTAAGACTAGGTGATTATAACATCAAAACCCCCACGGAAATTCGTCACATTGAACGACGAGTCAAACGAGTAGTGAGACATAAAGGTTTTGATGCAAGAACTCTATACAACGATGTTGCTCTACTCACTTTAAGTGAACCTGTTGAATTTTCCGAACTCATCAGACCAATTTGTCTTCCAACTGGATCTCAATTGTACAACGGAAAAGTAGCTACTGTCATCGGATGGGGATCATTAAGAGAAAGTTTGTTATTTCCCTTCATCAATTAATAAATCTTATGAAAAAAAAATTACAAACAATATATGAAATTATTTTAAGGTGGACCTCAGCCTGCAGTTCTCCAAGAAGTGGCTATTCCAGTCTGGTCTAACACAGAATGTAAACAAAAGTATGGAGCAGCAGCACCTGGAGGAATTGTCGATAGCTTTTTGTGTGCTGGAAGAGCAACTAAAGACTCTTGCTCAGTAATTAAATTTATCTTAAATTTATTTCGAGTCTTTAATTATTCTTTTTAATAAATAAATTCACTTTCAGGGTGACAGTGGAGGCCCACTGATGGTAAATGATGGCCGATGGACTCAAGTGGGTATCGTAAGTTGGGGTATCGGTTGTGGAAAAGGACAATATCCTGGTGTTTATACACGTGTCACTCATTTCCTTCCTTGGATTCAAAAGAATCTCAAGTATTAATTAATAAAAGAAAAAGACTATAATATTGTTTATTCAAGATCGAATTATCAAGACTGGGCATTGAATGTTTTTTTATCTTCAATGAAATGAATGAAATAAATTTTTTCCAATACTTGGTACGTTTAAAATAATATATATAAATTATTATAATTATTTATAATCCTTCCTTTACTATAAATTAAATATTTCTTTTTTTTTTTTAAATAAAATTTGAATTATTTTTATTCATTCAATTCGTCGAATAAACAAACCTTTTTTTTTTCTTTTTTACTTATATGCATAGATTCAGTTTTATTTATTTACAGTTATAAATTTTCAAGTATATATAACTGATTTATAATTTATTTTATTTATTATAATATATATATATATTTTTAATATGAGATTCAATGAAATTAATGGCAATCATGAGAATGTATATATTCAGAATTATTTTATAACTTTAACATTTAATCATTTCAATTATTTTATTTTCATTTAAACGTTTCATTTTTAAAATTAACACGACAATTACATTGACTTAGTTGTACAGAAGATATCATTGCCATGATTAATAATTACCATTATTAATAATTCTTATTATTGAATGAATACAGTAAGTTATTTAATTATTGCAAAAAAACATCTTAGTATCAACAAGAAAAAAATTTCTAAACTTCAATAACAGAACATATAAAAAAAAAACGTATCTTTATAATCAACATATGAGCTTATTAAATAAGCAAATAAATTTAACTATAATTAAATAAACAATATAATTCATTTGCAATTAAATTCAATAGATCAAGTACGAACACGATGAATTATTTCTTGGAAATATTAACGTCTTTTGAATAATGAAATTTTTTTTATCATCAACTTTCTTTGTGCTTTTTTTTGCATTGATATTTGTTATTTTTACAATTATTATTTTTTTTTATATATATTCATAATAGTGATTAGACATTCGGAATATTAAAAAATGTTTTTGTATATTTTATTATAAGATTTTTTTTTTTTTGAATATTATTCATGAATTTAAATCACTTGTATTGAACTATTTTTCATTATTTTCAATTCAATGATAATAATTTTGCATTTTATGAAACTGACTGATTTACATTCGTATAATTCAATATTTAAATATCATAACCATAAATTGTTACAATTATTTCATCGAATTGAGAATGTTAATTTACTCTAATCAGCAGTTTATACTTTTGTTTAATATCAATGAGAATATTTCTTAACATTATTTTCCTTCAGTTTATTTTAATAATTATTTAAATACTTTGTTTTGCTTAAAATTCATCAAAATTTACTTACTTAATATGAAGACAGTGTTAATTTAATGTTTATTTAAATTAATTACACATCGACGACCATTTTTTTATGAATATCAGTATTTCCAACAACCTGAAAAAAATTTTCAATTATTTTAAAACTCATTAATAATCATAAAAATAAATAAATAAATAAATAATATAACTCAATAATGTTTACTTACAGAACAAAATTCTTCAAAGCTTATTTTTCCATCCTCATCTTTATCAGCAAACAAAATAGTCTTGTCAACAATTTGTTGAAGTTGCGTATCTTTTAAATTATTGCCAACCATCATTTTTAATACTTGGAATAATTCACCATTGCTTATAAAGCCATCATTATCCATATCATAAATTCTGAATGCAAAGCGTAATTTACTTTCTTTGTCACCCTAGAAGTAAATAATACAAAATCATTAATAATAATAAACAATAAATATTAATAAAATAGTGGTAATACAATTAATTAACCAGTAATCATAAACGGTTTAATTTAATTACTGAATTTTTTATTTAATAAATAGGCCAGTTAATTTCTTTAAAATGGCATAAATATCAAGAATAAATTTATTCAACTAATTAAGTAATAAATAATTAATAATTATTTACAAACTATTAAAAATTATTTTGTTTATATTTAAAGATGACAAATAGAAAGATTTTTCATAAACACAAGGATTATTTAATTGAGAATTTAACGTTTAAATTAATTAATTAATTAATTAATTGGGTAAATAGACCAATAGATGAACAAATTGTTAAAATTATAAACAATTGAAAAATTAAAATACTCCAAAATATTTATTGTTTTTTATAGCAAAGTCTAGTTAATTAAAAAAATATTAAATAGGTTATGTTAATATTTGTTTTCTATTTATAATAATTTTTTATTTATTGTCCATCTATTAGTGTCTTTACCTTATTTGTAAATATTTTAAATATTTACTTAAAGGATAATTAAAATAAAAATTTACCTTGACACTGAATTGAGATACTCCTTGAATAAATTCCTTAAAATCAACTTCACCATTCCCATCAGCATCAAATATATCAATAACCCGCTGAACTAATGGATTTTGTTGTAATTCAGGTAACGACATAAATTCATCAATGCTTAAAGCTCCACTATTATCAAGATCTAATTTTCTAAATCGTTTTCCTAGTCTTCTTATTTCATCAGCATCAACTGTAACAGAAAATCATTAACACTAAATAACAGTTACAGGGGAGAAAAAAGAAATATTTCAGTCATAACTAATATAAATAGACCTTATTGTAGACAACATTTCAACATCAATATAAAGCTCAGCAACAGTCATATTTACTGAGCTGGATTATTTCATTGAAAGCTTCTACAACAAGCTTTAGAATCATCAATAAAAAGATTGTATGAAAAGCTTTCTTTGATGACTAAATAAACATTTAATATAAATATAAAAAAACCAATAGATGTCAAGGTTATAAACAGTGATATTATAAAAATAACTATGATACTTGAAAAATATTTTTAAAATATTACTTACAGTTTGAACAAAGTTCCATAGGAAGTGAGTTTTCGTTTCCCTTAAAAAGAAAAACATCAATGTATTGATATATATATATATGTATATATGTATCTATGTCTAGGCTTTGTGTGAAGGTTGTAAATTACGTTTAGAATAATAATAAAGTCATCGAATAGATATTAAATAAACTATTAAGATTATTTTGATGACTTAAAACATTGCAAATATAATAGATTGAGTAAGATTGTCTAAGATAATGATAATTACCATTTTTGATGGAGGTTATGTCAATAATTATTTGATAGAATTACAAATTTAATAACACTTGTGTGAAATTGATCACTGACTACTGAACATAGGATACCTGTGTCAAGGGACACTTGATTTCTATAAAGCGCAAGCGTAAGTTTTAACACATATTTACTGTCAGGGTTGGGTTGGCTGTTTTCACAATGATGGAAAAATATTTTCTCAATATTTAACTGTCTTTAATACTTCACAATATATCAATTGATACTTTAATTGCACGAGAATGTGCGAATAATCAATATTTCAGAACTACACTAGGAAAAAAGGAATTTTGATTTGATATTTGAATGAATGTTTTAGAAAAATCTATAAACGGTATTTTTGAAATTCTAACAAACTTTGGAGTATTTTCAGCAGACTGATCTCTTCAATGTTTAGCAGCCATATTGAAATAACTTTTTTCTGATTAGCTGATTGGTTATTGGAGCGTCACGTGATCAGCTTTTTATTGGTTAGGAACACGGGCGCTAATCTTGAGGTTATTTGTTTATTATTGTGGTCGATTGGAGGCCGGAGAAAAATTTCAGTAAGTATATGAGTTTTAAAAAGACAGTTGTAGCTTTTATTTAAGAGCTTAAAATAATAAATCCATGCATTTTCCGGTGAGTTATTGGATATTTAAGTTGATGAAGAAGCGAACAAGTATGATTTTTGGTGTTAATTCAATTTATAACTAAAAGTAGAAGCATGAAGAATTCTTTAAAAATATTTATTTATATAGAAAATATATTTAGCTTTCATTTAAGCCCCCAAACATCTAAATTGGAGGATTTTTAACTGAGATATGGCCATTTAAACATCGCAGTCTCTGATAAAGAATTGCTCCAATTCAAATTATGGCGACTGTGCTGCTCTCTAGCTTCAAATTATCGAATTATAAACTAAATGCGCACTTTTCTATTCTGTTGCCACTGTGCTCCATGTGCTCTTGTTTGTTTGGAATTAAAACTTTTTTCAATAACAACAAAACAATTATTATTAAAATTGATCACATTAAAAGAAAGAAGTTATAAAAATGGTACAATCAGATGATGAAAGTTCAGACAGTAGTAATGAGTTTCTTGTCAATCCTGACAGTTTAGACTTCAATGATTCATTTTTCAAAAATGTTGCATCAACATCAAAAACGCAGCAAAAAACTCCAAAGAAGTCAACCTCTGATGATGACACTTCTGACGATGATTTCGTAGATGCAGACACCAATGTTGACACAACAACTTTATTCAGTGAGGTTATGAAAAATTTAGAAAAATCAAATGCCGCTATGGCTACTTGTTTTGAACAGATGCCATCAAATGTGTTGTCAATGACATCAAAAACCAAAGCTACAGACCTAAAAGAAAAAGAACACCAACCATCAATTGATTTAAAAGATGAAATAAATGATTTATTGTTAAAAGGAGAAAGTAGTTTAGGATCTTCAGGTTTTGTCAATAATCTAGATAATCATACAGAGCAACCGGCTTCTACTAACAATGTTCCATCAAATGAAGACATAACTATCACTCTACCAGACACAAACATGATGTTCAATTGTCGAAAAAAAGGTAAAGTTGATCTCCAAGCTCAATTAATGAGACATTTGAACAAAAAGCTACAATCAAACCAGTTATTAGTTCACAAAGTAGGACTTCTATGTTGGCTTTCTCATGGATTTTACTTGAATCAAATCATCAATGATCCAGAAATCATGGCAGTTACTTTATCTTTAATTCCTTCAAAGATTTATCCTAAAGGAAGAGCTGACATAAAATACGTGGAAGGTTTTACAAATTGGTTTAAAAAGTGTATTAAAGTTGAATTTAATAAAAATAATAATCCAATAACAAAAGACGTGTTGCTAGAAAGATTGAAGCAACAAAAAACAACGAATTATCAAGAATTGGTGTTATTATTCATTGCTGCATTGCGAGCTATGGGACTTAATTGTCGATTAGTTATATCACTTTGTCCACCTGCTTTGAAACTACAGAGAGATAAACTTTTTCAGGTCAAGAAAGAAGGTGATGTAAAGCCGATTAAGAAGATTAAAAAAATAACACGAAGGAAAATCGATAATAAAAAGAAAACAGAAGATAATTTTGTATTTCGGAATAGCAGTACAGCTGATAATGTTGCTAAGGATGAAGCTAAAAAGAGAGCTGTTGAATTTCTAAGATCAAATTTTCAAGCACCAGAGAAGAAGAAGTTACCGAGAAATGGTAATATTGTTGTTGAACCTGATGAAGTAAAGATATCTCCAAAGCTAACTCGATCAAAAGCTAGAAATATGGCTTTAAAAACTCCAGACCCGGTTGAAGTTGAAACCAAAAGCAAGTCAAAGGTGACGAGATCAAAAGCTAAAGTTGTAGCGAAGAAAGATGAAGTAAAAAGTGTAACAAAGAGGAAAAAGGTTGATAAAAAGGATGAAGAAGTAAAAATAGAAACTGATAATGAAGAAAAAACTGTATCAGAATCGATAAGTGAGAGTAAATCGAGTTTGGAAGATGAAAATTCAAGTGAAGATTCAGATTCGAAGAATTTTAAAAGAAAACGAAAGTTAAATTTCCAAACAACAAGAAGCTCATCAGAGAGTACTAGTAGGAAGGTGTTATCCAGTGATGATGAAGAGGAGGACTTAATAGACACTAGAGATGCAAGACATCTGTGGGTTGAAGTGTATGTAGAGTCTGAAGAGAGCTGGATCTCTGTTAGCGTACCTGATAATAAAGTCCATTGTGTTGCTGATATTTATGTACGTATCAATTAACCCATCACTTTAATTAAATTCTCACTTTATTTATTTTACTTAACAGAAAAAGGCTCCTAGACCTTTTTTGTACACAATCGCCTGGAATTCTGGGGGTTCAATAAAAGATGTGACCCGTAGATATGCTCCTCACTGGTTAACAGTCACCAGGAAGCAAAGGGTTGATGAAACCTGGTGGAAAGAAACCTTAGTTCCATGGCTAGAACCTAAATCAGTATTATCCAAAGCAGAAGATGAAATGTTACTGCAAATGTAAGTTTGAATTATCATTATAAATAAAATAAATAAGCCATGATTGATATTTATTTCCAGGGAAATGGAGCAACCACTGCCTGATGCTATTGGAAAATACAAAGGCCATCCACTTTACGTCTTAGCTCGTCATCTTCTTAAATATGAAGCTTTATATCCACCAGACTGTGTGCCATTGGGATATTTAAAAAATAAAGAACCTGTTTATTCTCGGCATTGTGTTCACACTCTTCGGAGTCGTGAGACTTGGCTGAGAGAAGCTAGAGTTGTTAAACCTAAACAAGAGCCTTATAAGATAGTGAAGTCGTTGAAGCTGGACAAAGTAAGTTGATAGAATTCAAAAAGCGTAAATAAGCAAGCATTTAAGTTTATTTTATTTTAGTTTACACATCAAATTGTCAGAGAGCCGTTAGAGCTCTTTGGAAAATGGCAAACAGATCCCTATGATCCTCCAGTAGCCAAGGATGGTATTGTCCCTCGTAATGCTTATGGTAATGTTGATTTATTCCAACAATGCATGTTGCCCAAAGGAACAGTTCACATCGATCGTAAGTATAGATGTCTTAATTGATCTTTTAATCTTATTACACTAGAATTAAAATGGTGGAATGTTTCTTTAGTTCCAGGTCTTGGTAGAATTGCTAAGAAATTGAACATCGACTGCGCTGCAGCAGTCACTGGGTTCAATTTCGGTTGTAGAAGAGCTATGCCGAAGACAGAAGGTTATATTGTTTGCGAGGAGTATGAAGAAACTCTGAGAGAAGCTTGGGAAGCTGAACAGGTTGCAGCTACTAAGAGAGCACGAGAGAAGAGGGATAAAAAAATTTGGGGAAGCTGGAGAAGACTTATAAGAGGATTGTTGATAAAAGAAAAACTTGCATTGAGGTATAATATGAAGGATGAGGATGATGATTGTCTTGATAAAGATGACGATAGAGATGATGAAGCTGATAAGAAAGATGATGGTCATAAGAGAAAGAAAATAAAAAAAAATTAATTTAAGATTTATAATTAAAAGTTATTTTGTTAATTATGTTATCAACAGTTTAGAAGGTAATTTTTTTTTAAGATACTCACAAAAATAATTTATTTACATAACTTTATTATTAATTATTAATTTTCTAAAATATACAACAATTATTTGTTTTTTTACTATCAGTCTATAGATTTTTCTAGTATGTTGAAAAATATTCATACACATTTTGAAATATTTACTGTTCATTTTTTTCATGGGAATATTTAATTTTGAAAAATCCTGATGTTAAAATAATTGGCAGAAAATTAATTCCTTCCTGTATGAATCTTTTATACATGTATATAAGAAAATTATATATAAATTACCCTAGTCTTCAATTTAACTATATAAATTGCAATGCAAATTCGAAAAGATTTAATGAATTTTTATTGCATTACAACGGTCGTCACGCTATAGTAGCAACTTATTACTAATAATAGAACAATCATCTGGATTTTATTGGATGTCAAGGTTGCACATGTGTCATATTATGCATTCAAAATGCTTCATATGTGTAAAGATAAATATTATAATAGACAGAAAATCAATCTATACATTCATTTGTTAAATTATCATTAGATGTTATAACACGAAGTATTATCTTGCATGATGAAAAGAAATTTTGTGAATTTCAATTTCTTATTTTTCTACAAAAATTAAAAAATTATAATTAATATAATTAAATTATAAATTAAATCTTTTTTATACTTCTTGAGCTTTTACTATTGTTACATCCTTTCTCGATAAGTGATATCAAACTCATCCATGCTGCAACAGGAAGAAATTATCTTCTTCCTACTCATTTTTATCTAACCATAATATTAGTCAACATGTTGACCAGTCTTACAAATAATTTCAGTGATTTACGAAACAAAAGATAATGAATGTTTATGCTAAATTGTTGACAACAGTTAATTTTATTTATGTACTGATTATTGGCAGTGTCAATAAACGACACTGAACCAGAGATGATTTTAAAGATATATTGATAAATTTATCAACAATTTTACTAATTATTATATCTACTTTTAACATTATATATTTTTTACACAAAAATAATTACTCTGAATAAGAATATTTTTTTTTGTAGAATACATCAAACTAATAAGATTTATTCATTTATTTTACTAGAATAATTATTTTTAACACTGAGATTATTCTAATCATGAAAGAGTTATCTCATTCGAAAGTAGTTAGAGAATAAAAAGGTGATAGTCTGATTATTTAGATAAAATTCAACAATTTTATCACACAATGTTGAATGATAGTTATCTATAAAAGGATCTAACTGTAATTAATATCCATTTTATTTCTACTCTATAAAATCTGATATTAAATTTAATCATAACTTGTCTAAATATAAATCTGCCATTTTATAAAATAAACTTTATTCATTAAAATCTACTGTAAATGTTTAGCAAAGTATTAATGCTTTGCTGAAGATGTTGGACAGTTAAATCAAAAAAATGACAGATTCACTATTGGATCTGATTGTTATAATTAATAAGATTAATTATTAATCGTCATAAAAAATTAAAATGTTGATAGATCCAACAATCAGCAGCTTAATAGACCTGTGATGTCTTCAAATTTAATTCCACTGAATGTATTCATCATTCTTACCTTCTGATAGTGGGTAATAGTTTGAAAGTAATTATGAAAAAATAGTATCAACACTGTACGACATCAGAAATCATTGATTGAATGTAGGATATTTTTTTTTTGGCAACACTCAGTTATGTATGGATGTTTGTAATAATTTAAAACGCACAGTGTAATGAATTTAAAATGATCTTTCATCAGATGTTACTGATAATAATTAATGCTTGACAGTAGCAGTTTTAGTGCTACCCCTCGAGTCAACTGCACTCAATGCTATACCCAGTTGTGCTGCATAGTAGGTCAGCATTATTGACACCTACAATGAGAAGATTATGTTAAGTGTCTTTTGTCTGAATGCTTTTTAATACATTTAGTATATTACCGTGGCATATGGAACGGGATGATAGAAATGATGAAAGCCCAATAGAGTGTCGGATATGATGAAAAAAATACTACCAATACAACTGCAAAGTTGGGTCCAGGTCCAGGGTTCCTTGATCATAAGAAAACCAATTATTAGTTTTTCCAATAGTTTTAATTTAATTAGAAAAGTGTTATCATTACCTTGAAGAATCGAACACGGGAAATCGCTCGCCAGGACATGGTACCCAGTAGGGTTGTGTAAATGGGAACACCGATGGCTAGGATTCCATTTAGTCCAGGCATCAATATGTAGATCACTGGAGAATTTATTTTTTTATTTAGATTATGATTAATAGTTTCCGTTGGTATTAAATCATCCAATATGTCTTTCTCAAGTCACCAATAAATTGATTGATCAACAATGACATTTCTGCTAATATTTGCAGTAAATTATATTAAGAGTAATTGAAAAATTTTTACTTTAGTTATTTAATTAGAGGACCACATTCAAAATTAGCATAAATTGTTATTGTTATCAAAAATCAATCAATTATCATTGATTATTAAATATTAATTTGATTTATTTATTTGAAAGTATTGATGTTGTTTTTTACCCACAGTACAAAGAGCATAAATCATAGCTCCTAATGTTGTATTTAATGGAACAAAACCAAATGCTGTAATATACATGATCTGTGCTATGGCAAACATTGCCATTCCAGCGACAAATAAATTTGGCCAAACAATCAAAGCATCACCAAAACAACTGAATATTAATCCAGTTAATATTCTTCTTGAAAAAGTATATCTAAAAAATGAATAATTACATCAATTAATAGATATAAATTATTATTTTTAGATAAAAAAGAAGTAATTTTACTTACTCATCAGATAAACTCATACCATGGAGAAGCACAAAGATAATAAGACTGATTATTGGTAAACATTTAAAACAGGCTGTCAGAAGTGATGGTTGTTCTGCTAATAGCACAAAATAAACGCAAACACTTTTGAAGAATGGTACTAATTTTGGTCCGACACTTCGTAACTATAAACAAATGATTGTTAATTATATTTATTTAAATAATTAAGATATTTTATTTATTTTATCTAATCACTTATTTTTATTATTTTTTTAAATTAAATTCTGACTTCTAAAGTCAAAAGATTCATTTTAAATCTAAATGATAATAAAAATGATTAAATAAAATAAATAAATTCACTGATCAACAGTTTATTAATAGAAAAGAGAATTCCAGTTATAAAAATAAATTTTATAAATAAGAACAAAGAGTAATAAATTTTTTAAAAATATCAAAGAAAAAAATAAGATAAAGAAAAAGAAGGTATTGCTTTTATTTTAAGTGATGATGATTAATAAAAAAAAAAAAAAAAGTAAAATACTTACAACTTGTGTGGGTGATGACATGGTTAGTTATTGAAAAATGGCTAAATACTAGCCAGTAATAATAATAATATAAATAATCGTTCTTGTCACTATGCTTTTGTCAAATTGACAAGTAAAAACACGCTAAACCTTACGTGGTAGATGTACGTTAAACAACTATGAGTGCATGCGCATTATATTGTCCATTATTGCTTATTATTTTCTTTTCATACCTCCCCACTCGATAGTTATAAAAAATTCTCATTGGTCTAGAAATTTATAAGAAGGGGTATTTATGTTAAAAGTAAAAAAAACAAAGAAGATGAAGGAGTTGTCGAAGAAAGAATGACAACAAATGTTATAGCATCAAGAGAATGAATTTATGTGTATGACAATATTTACTTAAATATGTCGTATTATGTTTAATCAGAGAATTATAAGTAAAAAAAAAGATGTATTGATTCATAATAAACATGTTTATTTTAGTCAGATTCACTCCAAACACGTGATATAGTTGTTTTATTATTTAATTGATCATTCTAACCTATGATGGCGTTTGGAGCTTTGATGGTGCTGAACAGTTTCAACGATCAAGGTCGACATGTGTGATGAGTTAATAATATAATTTGAATATTCAGTGAAGTAATGAATGACCAAGTCATTTTTATAATTGATTAGAAAGTTGTAATAGTTTGCCATGTACTCGATATTCTATAACCTATAAAATTATATTATTATCATTCCAAAATTGAAGTAGGTCGGGTATACACTGTGATTAGCATTGATACATAAATATGCCAGTCCAATCAGTTAATTTGTATATGTCGGGATACCTGGAGAAGTATAAAAAATGGATCTCTCAAAGACCTCATGTTATCAGCGATATCGAAAATACCATTCGAACTTTGTCTTATTTTACTGCAGGTAATTTTATTAGTTTTAGGTTAAGATTGGAGTAGGATGGATACACTAATACATGGATAATCGATCCCAAAAGATGGATAAAAAATTATTTGCAAAAGTTTAATATTATTAATATTATTTTAGAGGTTAAAAATTATTTTAATGGATTTAAATTTAGTTTTTTATTGTTTTAACAATTTGTCCATCTTCTGAATGATGTCTATCTATTAGTTTAGCTTCTCCTTAATTAATAATAAAATATTTAATGATTTTTTTCTATTTTATTATCACAGGCCGTTTTTCTAATTCCTCAATAATATCAGAACTTATTTACTCCATGACAAACCTGCTAGTGTTATTCAATGATTGTCTTATTTATGCCTCAAAATATGCCGACTTTAAACTGCCTCAGTTTCAATCACAGCTTAAAATTTGGCTGACAGTCGTTGAATATATTGAAGCAATTCTTGAAGTATCAGCAAAAAAATTGTGGGGTGAAATGGGAAAGTGGATTACAATTTTTATCATACAGACATTTAAGTAATTCAATCATTCTACATTATTTTATTATTCAATAATAATTATTTTAAATAATGTTATAAATTTTATCAGGGCAATTTTACGAATGATTTTAATTCATCGCAATAAGGAAAGAATAATTCAAAATCCAGCAATTTCACCATTAAATCGTGATAAATTAAACAGAAGGTTATTACAAGCTGAAAAAATAGAGAAAGAAGGATTTGTTTTAAAAAGAAGTGGAAAAATTATAAGAAGTGTTAATTGTAATTCTGGATCAATTCAATCTAGGATCTGGACACCCTTACTTCCACTTGATGAAGAATTAATTTTTGAACCAGAGTCTCCAGCAGTCAGACAAAGAATTATATTTGCTGAGGTTTGATTAAATATCTTACAATTTTTAAAATCAATCTCATTACAGAAACTTTCTAATGGGATATTAAAAATGTTTTTTTTATTAATGAAAATAATTTATTACAGACTCTTTATATATTAAAACCTTTGATTCACTTGACAACATCACTAGTGAGAGGGAACAAAGATTGGTTACCATGGGTAACAGCTTTATCACTCGATTTAATAAACATCCATATGATTACAAAAGAATCAAAGCACATTCAATTATCGGCGACAGAGAAAGAGGAAATGATTCGACGACGAATTAGTTTATTTTTGTATATATTACGATCACCATTCTATGATAGATGTAGTAAAACAAAAATTTATTCATTGTTAAATACTGCAACTCAAACTATTCCTTTAGCAAGATATATTACAGAACCAATAGCAAAATATTTACCTCATTGGCAGCAAACATATTTCTACATGTGGTCTTCGTAATAATTAAATTAAGCCAATTAAAAATAGATATACATTATTACTTTTATACAATAAATAATTCATTATTATTTCTATTTTAGTGAAGTTCATTTCAAATAAACATATTTTTAAAATAATTTAATTGATTATTTATACGATAATATGTTTCTAAAATAGAAATACTTTATTTTTTGAAACAATTTCATATATTTTACAAATTTATGTATTGATAATAATCAATGATATACTAATAATTGTAATAATAATGATAATAAATATTTATTTTATTTAGTAAATAGATGTTTAGCATATGAATATCAAATATTATAACTTCTTTTTTGGCGACCAAAAGCATAAAACATATAAATTATTCTACCATTTGTAATAAAGAGTTAATAGTTGTATCTTTTTTACCATTATTTGCGTCATACACTGATTTAATAACTTCTTTGTCAATATTAGGAAACATTTCTGCGATCTAAAGATGATTAAAAATGATCAATAAATTAATTGTTAAATAAAATGAATAAATAATCAATACTTACCTCTTTAAGTTCTTCTTCAGCATGAGGTAATGAACTTGGAATGGCTGTTGGAGGTTGAGGCATGACTGGAGGTGCAGTGTAAACATTGACTGGAGCATAGCCAGGCATTCCAAACATTAGGTTTGATGTTGCTGATGGTACCATGACTACTGGTGGTGCAGCAAGGTAAGGGGTACACTTAGTCTGTGAAATAAAAGCAATTAGTAATTTGATAATCATCTTTTGTCATGAGTTAATATGATGATTAGTTCATTACTGTGTAGCTTAGGACTAAATTGATCATTCCTTCTTGATTGTCTCCTTGTTTTCCACTCAATCTGTACCAATCCTCATGGGTTTCCCCTCGTTGGATCACTTTGGAAGGAATATCAATATGTCCCCAGGCGATTAATTCATCCATAGTGAAGGAACACTCGTCATAGATTTCGACGTAAATTTGGTTTACTCCGGGTGGCAGCCAGCTAATAAATTTCAAAAGGTTTTAATTATTTTTTTAACCTCAAAAATATTCTTTTATCTTTATAATTATTTATTACCATTGTATAACTTTATTCCAATGGGGATTTTTGCCTCCATTTGTGTCAGTTTGGGTCTCATAAATGGAATGTCCTACTCGCAATCGAACGTAAGGGTCCATTCTCGTCATTCCATAATTTTTTACTAACTTTGCCTAGGGTTATAAGCAATACAAAAATTAATTACTATCATTATTTAATTGAAATTAGTTAGATAATAATAATAATAATAGCTTACCTGCACGACAGAAATGCTAAGTCTACCCATCCGTGGATCAGCAGGCTGCATTGTTCCTTGAAGTTGTTGTAAAGCAAGTGCAGCTTGTTGATCAGCAGCTTCTTGTTGTTGTTGTGGAGTCAATGACTCTTCCAACCTCAAAAAACTTTGCGGAAGTGGCCCCAAAAATGCCTAAATATTCATCATTATCAATAATTTGCTCCAAAATGAATTGATCTTTGGATTTTAAACATTCTAACAGTCATACCCTTTTTCTCCATTCTTCATGTTGCTCCGATCGTTGAGCAGCTTCCATTTTTTATAATTATCTTTACTTATTAGCTTGCAGTTATAATTAAATATGAAATTTTAATTTCAAACAATAATTATATAACAATAAATGATTTTTTTAATCACTGTTGTAAAACTTTCAAAGCCTTTTTGTTATTTACGACACAATTTCGTTGACACATCAACAATGTCCATCAATTTTAACACCATTTTTATTGACATATTGCGCCATCTGATTATAAATAATAGAACTAAATTGAAGCGGGCATGTCTGTGATGATTTCAATGCATTAAAAATTACTGACATATTTTTATTTTCATCTTTAATCAAATTAATTTTAGGTTAAAAATATATTAAACCAATAATTATTCTTTTCTATAATTATTAACAAGTATTTATATTTTTTCTAACCTCAAATTAAATAAATTTCTTATCTTTACGTCATTTTATAGTATAATTATTTTTTTTTTATAGCAACATCAGATGATAAAGTGTTAAAATACTTAATAAAAAAATATTAACAGATAAATATCCAGCTGCAGAATTATCTTTTCCATTTACAACTAGAATTTGTGGTGGAAGTTTTGAAGTTGTACCATTTCCACGATTACATCGATTAGTAGAACAATATTGGAAATAATATTTTAATCCATAAGTATTAGAATTATTAACTATACTTGGTGGCTGGATGACACTAGTACATGAACGAATAAAATAAAATCCTTCACTTCCATCATCAGCTTCAATGCGATTAAGCATACAATATTTGGTTGAACAATCAACTAGAGGACCATCATGAATCACACAATCACTTAATGGATCATATGAGGTGCAATTATAACATTTTAACCCTAAAAAAAAAAATGAACAATTGATGACAAATCATCAAAATGTATGAAGAATTATTCAAGTTAATTGTGCTTACCAGAATTAATTTTTAGATTTGCCAAGAAGATAATAGACCATAAAATGACAAATGACGCCATTGGACAATATTTGTCAGTGAAATCGTTAGATAACAATGAGTTAGCTATTAAATGATACCAAAGTAATCCAGTGAGTTAATCATTATCAGTTTTCTTTATCAGTAAATCCATAAAATGTATGATGTTTGAACTATCATCAATTATCTTGTATCTAAAATACTAGATGTTTAGTATTTCTAATAGATACCTGATAAAAAAAATGATTGAATAGAATTGTATATGATGATATATAAAACAAAAATATAAATGAGGGAGAAAAAAGGAAGTTTATTATGAAATCTTCTAGCTACCTTGATGAAAAAAAAAGCCAACTCATCTTTCTATGTACAGTTTTATACCTGAATGATCTCTTTGTTCTTTGTTTAAAACAATTTGGGGGTTCAAGCTCATACAGGTTTTCCTTTGTCCCTAACCTGACACCATTCATGGGGTATATAATAACATGTTAGAAATAGGTAGAAGCTTAGATGACCTGGACTAGTGATAGTGTTCATTTCACTTCAAATTATTATCTTTTAAAATGAATATAAAAATTGTTACAACGACTTTGTTTAAAATTATCCTGATTAATTGGGTTCTTATAGCATGTGTGTGTCATGCAAAACCAAAGAAAGCAGGAGGTAAGAATTATAATTAATTTTTTAGCTATTAAATCACCAAAACTATTTAATTTTAAAGATACTTGATAATTTAATTCCCTGTTGTATTTTTTTTATCTTGAATATTAATTCATAAATTTAGTTTTAATTGCCTAATTAAGTATCTAGTGTGATAAACTTATTTTTAAACTATTTCTAGGAAAGCCAGCTGGTGGAATGAAAGGGTCAGTGACCTGTACTTGTGAAACATTTAATAATTTATGCCAGGCATCAGGGTCTCTTGATCTTCGAATTGCAAACCAGGAACAGGTAATCAAACAATCAAGTATCAACCACCCTAGTAGCACGGTCTATTTGAAAGACAACATTCTTCAAAGACATTACAAAATTTTCTGATTATATTATGAAAGAACTGCTGACATCACTGATAGCACCACAGGTGTCTGCTTCCGCATTTATGTATGGATCTTGGAACAGAATATTACAGCAGGATCTAACTCTAAATCTTGCTGTAGATTTAATAAAGAAGCTGGTAAAAAAATTATCAGATCTTCAGTAGAAATATGGAGGGTATCATTTCATTAGCTATTAGTTTTCATTGAGCTATAGGAGTATATGGAACAAGTCTGCTGGTCTCTTTGGTGCCAGTTCCTGCATCAAATTTGCTGCAAGATGTGGAGTTTGATCATGTCATAATATTCCATTGTAAGATCTATATGTGACTGGGGAAGCAGACATTTATGGTATTGCTTTAGAGTCAGACATTCTGTACAAGATCATTACGCAAGATTTTTTAAAGCTGGCTACTAGGGCAATAGCTTGTACCTGAAATAAAAGCAACTATTAATTTATAATTGTAATGAACTTTCAGACAGAACTAATTTGCAATCCATATGAATATCGTTATTGTGATACACCAAAACTTACCTGCAGCTTTACTCGAATAAAAACAGACTTTGATTTATTTGGTAAACATCCATGGCATGTTAGCATTTACGATACTTCCAAATCACCGAAATTTATTGGCTCTGGAGTGTTGATAAAAAAACGATATGTTTTGACAATCGCTCACAAAATGTTAGAATATGAGTAAGTAGATGATTTAATTGTAAAACACGAGGTAATTAATTATTTAAACTATATATATATATATATATATATATTTCTTTATAACAGGAAAACTGGAGTCAAACTTCGATTGGGTGAATGGGACCGTATATTAAGCCCTTCTTGTAATACCTTGGAATTCAAATCATCAAAAATTGTAATTCATTCAGGCTATGATGCCAAAAAACATCACATCAATGACATAGCTTTAATAAAACTTGACAAAGAAGTTGATATAGCTCAGTATCCACATATTAATACTGCTTGTTTAGCAGCAGAAGTGCCAGCAGCTGGTACCTATTGTGTCGTTGCTGGATGGGGTGTCGATATGTTTGTCCCAAGTGAATTCGCCAGGGCTGGTGGACCACCATCTGATAAATTAAAAGAAGTTACTGTTCCTATTGTTGGACAGGCTACATGTGAAGCAGCTCTGAAAAAAACTCGATTGAAGCAGGGATTTAAATTAAATAAAGAAAGTTTCATTTGTGCTGGTGGAGAACTTGGTCGTGATTCTTGCACGGTAAGGAATGCTTTACTCAGATCATCATCAAACTTGCTATATGATATGTTCTATCGATGATTAATATCAATGATTTATTATTCACTAGGGTGATGGTGGTGCTCCATTGATGTGTCCAAATTCAGACGGTGTTTTGGAAGTAGTGGGATTGGTGGTAGGAGGAATTGGCTGTAAATCCGAGGTTCCTGCACTTTATACAAATCTTCCAGAATTTAAAGAATGGATTGAAGATACAATCTTTAAGACAATTGATGATTGATTCATTGATTAATGTTATTATCAAAATGAATATGGTTTTTTTTTTTTGTAATTAACATATTCTTTATAGCATTAATTTAAGCAGTGAAATAAAAATAGTTCTAGCAGTAATTCTAATGTAATTATATCAACTTCGTAGATAGATTAGTCTTAAGGCTGAGTTGAACTTGAAATCTTTTCCTTACTGGCAGTAGCAGAAAGCATCTGACTAAATACATTTTAATTACAGTGTTTTATTATGTAAAATAATTTTATTTATAATATAAAAGGTGGCAAGGATTTAGGCTTATAATTATTTTGAGAAAAATTTCAATAAAAAATAAATAATCAATTATTTTCTCTTGATGGTCATGAAGCGTCAAAAATCTAGTGATAATTCGATAACAATATCCTCTCCAATAAAATGAAATAAAATTTCTACATAAAATAAACTTTATATTGACACCAAAATCAGTGGATATAATTGCAAATAGGCTGATTAATTAATCCTTTCTCTACTCTTTGGGATCTTCTAGGAAGAAATCGATGTAAAGCCTAGCCTTAAATCAAAATAAAATATTTAAAAAAATATACCAAGGTCTTTTGATTTGATTTTCTAAAAATAATAAATCATTGAAAGAGGAAACAACCATAAAATTAATGATGAGTAATAATTGAAAATAATTATTTTCAAATTACAAACCACTAGTACTGCGTCAAATAATCGTTATAGATTTTTGTCAACACAAAAATAGATTATTCATCATAGAAAAATTATTTAAACAATGTTCAAACTAACCTCGTTTTATTTTTATTGTATTATTTTGCTCGTTTTCTGCTGCTGAATTTCGTAACACTCTGTTGGATAATGACATGACATTTACACTTTTTCTATTAATTATGAATTATTACGATCGGAAATTGTAACTATGTTTCACACACACAAATAGTGAATAGAAATTCGTTTTTACATACAACATAAATACGTGTGTAATAAAACTGGGAAACTCCAAGTGGAGAAGGTCGAATTGTCATTATACATGGCTGGATATTCACGTTAATTTGTCTCTTTTATTGAGTGTGAAAAAATAAGCTAATTATCTTTCTCCCAGATTTACGGAAATTGTTATGTATATAAGATTCCTGTTTTATATTCATGATGCCAGTGATTTATGTTGATTTTAAACAAAGTGTTATTTTCATGAACATGGCATTTAGTTATGTCAAATTGTGCTCCAGTTATCTTTCCTTCCTTTCAATTCTAGTGAGCTCTCTTGGACAAACGCCACCGTTGTCTCAAGGAATTGTATTCAGTGGAACAAGTAAGAATTTGAAAAAAGAAATATTTCTTTTAATTATATTTATTAATTGACTAAATTACTTTTGATAGCAACAACTACCACAAAAGCTCCACCAACAAATTCAGGTAATTGTTTTTGTGCATCTTCCGGAGCATGTCCAACTCAACCAACTATTGACATTCGGATTGTGAATCAAGTAAGTCAATCAGCAGCATCATTCTACTGAATAAATATTATTAGGTTATTTAATTCATTTTTAAAGACATTTTGATGGAATGTTTGAAACAGGCACAATCACCAACATGTCCAGCAGGAGAAGTCTTGTGTTGTTCTAATTCTCAGAATCTGATGAGTAGTTGTGGATTGAGAAAAATAATAGATTCAATACCACAGCCAGCAGGAACAGCTCTGTATGGTGCTTATCCATGGCAAGTAGCTATTTTAGCTATGAATAATACTTATCTTGGTTCTGGTGTGTTGGTTACTGCTAATCATGTCGTAACAGCAGCTCATAAAATAGCAAAATACCCGTAAGTAATTTTGTTTTAACCTAAAAATAGAAATTTGTGCAGATGAAAAATAAGTTTAGATCTGTCTTATGAGACTGAGCAAGTCTGATAAAATTTTTATTTCATTTCATATTGTCTTCAGGACCAAATGTTTAAATCAGATCCAAGTGGATCTAGATTCATCAGAATAAAGCAGTCTCATAATACAGATCTGATCAGATGTGAAGATGTTATTCATGGATGTGGAATAAATATTACTTGTTACAGAAATCTTAATTATAAATTGAGATTAGGTGATTGGGATGGCCTAGCAACTAATGAACGTTATCCATACCAGGAATACAATGCTATGCGTGCTTTTATTCATCCTGACTACAATTCTGGCAATTTAAAAAATGATATAGCAGTGATTCGATTACACGGAACAGTTCCGTTGGCTTCAAGCCCAAATATCAATACGGTTTGCTTTCCAACTGGAGTTCCAGTATCAGGAACAAGATGTTGGGTCACTGGCTGGGGAAAAAATGCATTTGGTTCATCAGGTAATTTCCAAAAAATTCTCCGAGAAGTTGATGTTCCTATTGTTGACCAGAATAACTGTGAAACAAGATTACGTAACACTAGACTTGGTCAGGGATTTGTACTTGATAGAAACAGTTTTATTTGTGCTGGTGGTGAACAAGGAAAGGATGCTTGCACGGTAATTGAATTTTCTGAATGACAAGATTATTATTGTCTCAACTAGAATTATTATGATTGATATGATTGGTATTCCAGGGTGATGGTGGTGCTCCTTTGGTCTGCCAGAACAGAAATAGTCAATGGGAAGTTGTTGGAATAGTAGCATGGGGAATTGGTTGTGCTACTTCACAAGTACCAGGAGTTTATATGAATATTGTTAATTTTATGCCATGGATTTCTCAACAAATTGCTAACTCTCCTTAAAAATGTAACATTTAATTATCAAATTATCTTTTTTTTATAATTTTATAAATTATTATTTTATAAAATGCTTCTACCATTGTCATAACATAACTCAATTAAATGAAAAGTTGCTTGTAATTTTGTGTTGGAGAACCTACCTAGATCCACTCATGATCATTTAGCTGTATAAATACCGTTAAGTTTTTACAATAATAAATAACTCAGACGTATCAACAACATGGACCTTTGAAATTATATTTCATGTTTAAATAATTATAAATACCTCCATCAAAATTTGACAATGATGAAGCAATAGATGTTCTCATCTTTAGAATTGATTGATATTCCTGAGGCTTATGATTCCAAGTGCTGTTAAATATTCTGGAATAGATAAATAGAATGTAAGATAGAGGCAAGCAAATAAAATGAAAAAGAATAATCCCAAAAAATTCTGGTATTAAAAATAGGATTTCCTGAAAAAGAAGAATCTTTGGCATGATGTGATCGAATGTCATTAAAGAATAATGCTTAATAGCTAATTTAACTTCTCAGTGATTACATTCTTATGTAAATACCATGTCACTTCAGTTCCTTTTATATTTATTATTTATATCGATGTAATAACTCATATATTCTTTACAAAGATCAACTTAACCTGAAAAAATAAAAGAAAACATGTCAATCATTTTATTTACCCTCGCATTATTGGTAGACATACAAGTCCACAGTAATTTACCCTACAGTTAGCTTCAGTAACAGTACAATTAAATGGAAAATAAAACGAATAAAAACAAATTAATTTATTGATAACTGTGACGTAGTAAAATAAAATGAAAAATATACGATAGGGTGTAACTAATAGCATCACTTTCAATACTGGCTATAAGAAGAGATGAACTGATAACAAAATCTTCCTAACATTCCCTAAATCAATTATTCTTTTCGTATACCTTTCACAAATGTACTGTCAGATTTCTTTAATTCTTGCAGCGCGGGGAAGAGTGAGGAACACACAAAAATGGTAAACAAAGTCCATTGTCCCTCATGTGTTAATATGTATAAATTTGTCATTGATGTACTTATGTCATTGTTATTATTAATTACCTAGCAAACATTGGAATAAATACAAATAAATACATGCGCATAATGACCTTAAGGGTAAATGAATTAATTTGAAATCCATAATTCTATTTAATTGTAAGCACAGATTGGTTTGTAGTGATTGTTATTTTTTTCTTCACAGAAATACGATGGTAATCAGCGATTTGTTATTACACTGTCTGTTTATTGGAATTGTTGCATCTGAATTGAGTATTATGGAATATCGTGATGATCTTCGTACTCATGAAGTTCTGGTAAGTATTCATGTTTGATCAATTAAATATAATGTAGTGTTAACCCGGGAAACAATAAAATAGATCTACATTTTCGCCATTTTTTAGATCCAATGTGATCTACTGATATCTAAAAAACTGAAGAAAATTTGATCTAAGTAAATCTATGTATATCTAGTGAGATTACTGAGTATTTACACAAATTACTGTACTCTCTTAAACTGAATCAGTGAAAACTACTGCGAATCAGTGAATATTCACTGATATCCAGTGCCAATCCAATGACTGATTCTTTCAGTGATGGGATTGGCACTGGCAATCATCAGTGAATAGTCACTGATTCGCAGTAGTTTTCACTGTTTCAGTTTAAGAGAGTTTATCTATGGAGATCTCCATTGATCTTGATGATAAAACAATTGAATATATCTACAGAGATTATAGAAGATCTAAAATGATTAAAACAGATGTACACAGAACAAAATAGATCTACGTTGATCAATGTAGATCTATTTTATTTTTTCCCGGGAAGGGTGTAATGTAGAGCTTAAATTAAGTTACAGATTTTCGAGAACTGCGAGAAAGATTATGAAAATTTAATTCTCTATGATGAAGTCAATAAATTTAGTCCAAGTTTTTTTCAACAACTACATGATCAATTTCACTCTATAATGCATTACAAGGGAAGGTTGGATTATAACAATATTATTCCACGTAGAAAACAAGTAGATGCTGTTATAATATCGGTAGTAACATTAGGTAAATTGGGAAACGTTTTAAGACAGTTGAATGAAACAAAATGGTGGGACGTTACAATACCAGTTTATATATTAAATGTACAAAAAAACGATTGTGAGTATGCTATGACAGCTCTAACATACGCTCGTCGTCGTCATGTAGTGACATCATATATTCCATGTATCGATGAGTCTAGTGGTATTCAAGTTTATACCTCTAATCCATATACCCGTCGAGCAACCAGTGGTTGGATAGAAGAATTCTCGCAACCGAATATAACATTTTACAGACGACAGTATAATCCAAGTGAGTAAAATTTTAGATATCTCGAAAATTGTCAACGAAATTGTTTCAGAGTGTGATAATTTTCAGGAGTTAATTTTCAGAACACATACCAAAATAAATGTATGAACATAACCTACATCACTATACTCATGTTAAAATTTGTTTCAGAAACAATTTGCCAAGAATTCTATTTCGATCGAAGTAAAAAACTTGACGGTTACATAATTGGAATCGGTATTCCAATCGCAGTGAACAATGAAGCATGCAGTTCTAAATATTTGAAATATACTCAAACCGCACGAAATGCTCGTTGTTTAACAAAGCGTCATCGTGAAATATTAGATGCCCTTATCACAAGATTAAACGTGACTGTAATGCTGAGTATACATAAAGGAAATGAAACAATAAAAAACTTTAACCTAAAAGATGGACATGGAGACAAAGACAACAGGTGGTCAATAGAAAACTTCGACAGTATGGAAGATGATTTAATCTTGTACAATATGGTTGTAAGATTTTTAAAAAACAGAACTGTATTCTTAGAATCTTATCCTTTAGCTTGGGAAGCGATGGGAATTGCTACGTATCATCGTGGTCATAAAACTATTGGTGAAAAAATTTGGGACTTTTATGGAATCTGGACGATTCTATTTACGATCATTGTACTTATGGTCACATTTACAGTCATTTGGTTGTCTGAAAATAGAAGAACATCCTTTGCATTATTTGAGATCATTCGTTTACTAATAAGTCAGAATCTGCATACTCGTATGAAGACTTTGCCTCTTCGGCTATTCTTTATTACAGTTTTGATTTATTTTCTGATCATCCAGGCCACTTTTCACGGCCACTTGGCAAAGTTTCTGACACATCCTGACTTGAGAAAACACGTGGAAACTCTCACAGACTTGAACAAATTTGGCTATACTTCTGACAGAATAGATTTCCCAATAAATATCAGTATAAGGAGGATAGATAGTCCTCGACGAGCACAAATATGTCTGAGAAAAATATTATTGAATAATTCTCTTGCTTGTGTTCTTGACCACGCAACTCTTCTTTACTATTCTAGAAAAAATGAAAAACTGTACGTTTCAGAAAAACCATCCGAGGATGAATATTATGGATATATTGTACGCCGTCATGCACCCTTGTTGAAACGTATTAATTTATTTTTTATGTCCTTAGAGGACTTTGGTTTTCGATATTTGTGGTCAAAGTTCGACTCGAAGCATTATGGAATCCTTAATTCTCCAATAACTAAAGTAAGATCAAGTGAAGATTTTCATCCAATTACGTTAGAGCATATGATGTTTAGTTTCTGGATATTGGCGATTGGGTTGATGAGTGCGACAATTAGCTTCTGTATTGAAGTGTTTATGACAGAAAAATCCAAGTGGAGTATCATTCCTTTCATAAAAAATGTTAAGAATAGAACTGTGGAAATGGCAAAGAGGATTAAAATTTCATGGCCACGTAAAATTGTTGTATTCTTTCGTAAAAAATAAGAAGATTTATTATTTTTCTGATGCCTGTAAAAATTGGTACCATGTTCGAATTCGAGTGGTATTTGGATCACGGATAAAGCTTACAATTAAACAGCACAGTTAACCGATGTTCCTTATTAAGGTTAAACTGAGAAATGAAATTAGAATTATTTTTACGTTAAGTAGGGAAGAATTATTGATTTTTTCTTTAATAAAAGTTTTTATTGTTCGTTAAGATAATGTGTATGACACATGTGTATAAAAATAAAATTCAAAAATTTTTATTTTAACGATTTTTTATAGTGAAATATCAACTTAAGATTTATTAATATTCTGAAACTGAAAAAAAAAGAAGTGAAAAAAAGATGTCAACAACACGTGGTGTTCCCAAGCGGTCACCCATCCAAGTACTAACCACGCTCAATGCTGCTTGACTTCAGTGATCAGACGAGAACTGGTATTTTCAGCATGATATGGTCGTTGACAATAGTTGTAGAAATTACATTTTACAATAGAACCTTTCATCTGGGACACTCTCTTATCTGTTAACAGGATAATCCCTCATCTGTTAATCTTTATTTCTCCTTCTTAAATTTTTCGTCATACCCGCACGGAAAGTTCACTTTTCCATTGGAGAGGGGTTGAACTTTCCACGCAGGTATGACGAAAAATCATATTCAGCCCTAGAGAAGACAATTAGACTAGCTTAAACCACGTGTTTACTACCCTCGCCTTCGGCTCGGGTTGTAATTTTACACGTGGTTTGAGCTAGACTACTTTCCCTCCCTAGGTGTGAAATGTACTATTTCTTTCACCAATCAAATTTTTTATTCGTGGCGCGCAACTTTAATTTAATTAAAATGCGATATTGAAGTTAGCTTTACGTTCTGGATCCTTTTTATAATTGATTATTCTGCGCATGTTGATGCGCATAGGAGAAAAAGGGCATACTGAAAAGTGGAGATACGAAGAAATGTTAACAGTATTGAAAGGTCCTGGCCCGAATGGTTAACAGATGATGGGTTCTACTGTATATTGTCGAACTGAGAAAAGAGTCCCTCAGTTGCTTCAATGCTTTCGGGCTCCCCACCACTGATTTTCTACCCCTTCTACCATGTTTTTTACTACTGCGCAAGCGCACAAGAACACATGAAGAGCTTCTGAGGAATTCTCTTCTCATTTCTACTGAATACAAGCATCTGGAATGTACTGTGACTGTCATCTACTTATGATGAAGTCTCTTTTCTACTTTACTATTCACATCCTATTTCATTCGCGAGAGTGCAGCCAGCAACCTGAGTTACTGCATGCTGGTGGTTGGTCGCAATAGTAGTCCAGGTTTCTCGTGAAGTGAGAATACATCAAATTATTCTAAATATTGTATTCTTATTGATATCTATACACGTCTATAAAAACTATGCAAATTTTTTTCAATAAAAGTAGACACTCTTTAAAAGTAAAATGCACAGACACCAAATCAAATTATTCTGTATAATCACTTTGTACTGTCAAGCGAAAATAGTATCTTCAATGTTAACTTCAGGTTCTAATTCTCTTGGATTGACTACAATCCTTCGTATGTTAATGGGTTTTTTTTGTTTCATAATTGGAATACTTTTTTTGAAAACCTCAAAACTACTTCTTAGATTACATTTTCTACCAATCACAAGCTCAATAATAAAGCAGACAAGTCCTAAAGTGTTGCCAATAGTTAAGAAAATAAATGCAAATTTTAAATCGTTGAAAAAAATTTTCCGAAAATTTATCTGAGAGAGAATTTTTTCTTTTTCCATTATTCTTTTGCTATTTTCAATTTGTTCCTTGTGCATAACATTCACAGCGACATCGAACATATAAGTTGTAGCCCAATGGAATTTCTCTCGCATGAAAAATCGTCGTCGAACTATGTGAGCTAGTGCGAATCCTCCAATATCGTTACTCATCTGAATTTTTTTCATAAATTTATAAAATTTAATATAGATTATTGCAGAATTTTTGTTTATGATACAAACTGAATTCTGATCAGCGATAAAGTGATCAAAAAGATCACTTTGATCTCTAAGATGTTTTCTTTTTCTGCTAATAACTTCATTTGTTGGTTCATTATCCTTATTATAGAAGCCCACATCATAGATTGTGGAAATCCGAGGATTTGATAGATCTTCAAGGGAGTCTATGGTGTCATGGATTTCAGGTATCGTAATAAACCTCGGCAAATTCCCACTGAAAGTTGCATGAATTACCATAAAATACAAGAATATCATGCAAAAGAATATTTTCAGTGATAAAGTGTTGATAGGAATTTCAACTCCTGAGTTTATCAGTAGTCTAAGGACATCGAAGGTTGCCAAAGTTGCATTTCCGTTAGTTTTCAAGTAAATTACGATAAAAGTTATGATTAAGAGTACAATCAGTGATACCAAAGTCAACATGCCATAGAATCTAGCTATTTTCTCAAGAGGTGTAGCTTCGGCTTGTCTATGAGACAGAATTACGAAGGAGTCGAAGTGGCTAGGATTCAAGTATGCGATATAAAAGTTAGAGACTAATTTTTGGGCAGCGTTCATCATATCAACGGAAGTTGACGTCCATAGAAATGGATTCAATTCTTCAGCATTCTGGCTTTTTTTGTACACATAAGATTTTATATAAGCTAGAAATTTGATCTTCAATATTTCTTCAAGCAACGGACAATCAGAATCTACATAATAATCCAATCTACGAATATCTTTACGATAAATAAAGTCTGGCATCATCGATGTTTTTGATCGTGCCTTTCGTTTAACTCCTAGTAGAATTTGTATGTTTTTTTTCGGCTTTTCGCGACTAAAGTTCAAGCCACGGCATAGATCTATAACAGTAATATCATTATTGATTTCTGAAAACAAAAAATTGCACAATAAATAATCAACAAATGGGAATAAATACCAGCATTGTATTTGCGATAGTAGAAACTTCCAGGATATAAAGAATTAACTTTCCACGGTAAACGATACCAAAAAGGATGTTGAACATTTCGATATTTGTCTTATGTCAAAACGACTGGACCTACATCCTGATCTACACAAATATAGTAAACCTCATCGAAATATGAGTACCCCATATTTGTTATAGTATTTTGTCCAAGAAGGCAAGAATTTGATAATTTAGATAAAAATATGACCTTGCAATTTTCTATACATTGCCAATTTATTAGCATCCGGCCCCATAATGAATTCCATTCGTCACGCGAATTGAATACCACTACGAATCCATTAATAGAGGTTAGATTTTCGAATTCTATATACTCTGTGGTGGGTATAAGGATCCACGATTTTAGATCTACAGGTGATAATGTCGTTAGCAAAGTTTCAGTCAGATGCGAATTATTTCCAGTATAGTATATGATGTTGTTAAGCCCAAGGTTGCATTTCTTAAGTATCAGAATCTAAAAAAAATTTTTTTATTAAACTAAATGTGACAATAATACATCAGCAAACTCTTACCAACATTCTTTCAGTTACAGTTAGATTTTTTACAGAATACTTGGGTAGTATTTTGGGACTGTCACCGAATGTATTTAAAAATAATGATAATATTATAATAGACTGTTTTATCATTGTGAAAAAAATTTTTATTGTCTCTCGACCCGTCTGTTATTGACGACTGTTTACGACTTATTTACTTGCAGATTTTTTTTTTTATCGAACATTATGATAGTTGAAAAACATATTATTAACGTAATAGATTTGTTACGTTAAAGCCTATATTATATTAAAATAATAGATCGATTAGAGCATAAGTAACTATTTCAAATGAAATTATTCTGCACTAAATTATATCATTTTATTCCTAAAGTCATTAAATGTGTTATATCGACGTAAATGGAATTATTATAATTATGATAATCATTTTATAAGGGTAATAAGTTTGTTTGTATTCCCGTTAACTCGTAAGAATAATTATTCCTCGTACAGATTCAAATCGCTTTATAAATTATTGAATTCTTTTTTCTCTTGCTGTCATACATCAATAAAATTACTCTCCAAATCGTTACAAGCGTTTACTTTAAAGAATGAAAATCACAATTCTTCTTGTTATTACCTATTTTTACCCAGTAGAAGTAAAATTAAGTGGAGAAAATTATTTAGTTAAAATTGTTCAACTAGAGATGTCTTTATTGAATTTCCAAAAGTTCTTTCTCGATTTGTATTAACCAGATGATAAGTCAGTGGGCGTATTATCGACTGAGTGAGTATCCGACAGTAGAAAAGCAAGTTCCCCGCGCAGTTTTGATTATCATTACCACATGTCGATAAAAACTCTGAAGATAACGAAGAGAATGAAGTTACCAACAAATCGAAATTATGTCACAAATTTAAAAATTGAATACTTCACTCTCAAACTAGAGAAAATACCTCAAATGAATGATAGTATTTTTTTGATATTTTTCATTTTCTGTGACTTGGAATAATTTTTTATTTAAATAAATGATTCGGACGACAGATTTATAGTAACATTTATTGAGACGAAGACGGATAAAATATAGTTTTACATATCGAGCAGATGGTACAGCATACGCGCAAGATTCAATTATATTCTGTCAATACTTTGGATATTTTATATTTATAATAATTATCCAACTACATACATAGAAACAAAGCTTAAAAAAAAATTAACAATATTTTCTTAAATATAATTTCATAAACCATTGACATGTCTAAATCCTTGAGTACTATGAGCAACGTTGTCTAGCAGGCTTCCATTACATAAAATTATTGTTATAATTTATTTTTTTTTGTTTGTAGCTGTTAGTCTAATTATTTATCAAGTATTTTTACTTTTGATTTATTTAGTTTGATCTGTACACTACAAGAAAACACATTTCTAGTCGATCTTTAGTCAAACATTGCTTTTTTTTTTTTTCTTACTGCTAATGAATAATTGAATAAACAAATAGATCAATTGAAATTATTATTTTCCATTATTACAAATATCTTCATTGGATGTAATTAATTTGATTTAATTAAGTTCCTATTTTTTTATCATTTTTATTCGAGAATCCTAACTGTTTGTGAATATTTTAAATTTTTTTATTGACGAAATTATTAACTAAATATAAAAAATGATATCAGTTTTAATTTGTTTTTTTTTTTCAAGTATTAATTACAGTAAGGTTTTTTAATCTCTAGTTTTCTACTATAAACATGAAGAGCATAATAGATCAACGTTGATTACAATAATTAATTATTTACTGTCTTGTAATTACACATAGTTATTATTATTATTATTATATCTCTTTTTTTTTATTTTTATTGCACGTAAAAAGTAACCTACTCGAAATATTTAATAACTCAAACATCTTCTTTAAATCTTCTACGAACAATTAATAATAATATTAATTGTTTATTCAACCAAGAAACTATTATCATTTACTCTAATAATTGCAATACTGATTATATTTTAAATAAACGACTAATTTTTTTTGTTGCTTTCTTTCATAAATATTTTAACATTTTTTTGATTATTTTATATTTATTTCTTGTTGAATACTTTCTCGTCTACTTCCTTAAGGCTGTTCAGATCGTCGCTTCCGACCGGGCCCATTGGCATAATTGGCAGCTGCCATTCCCATTAAATGCTTAGCTGTTTGAGAGCCACTAAAGCCACGAGATAATCCAAAGTCCAAACCATACGCTCGTTTGGTGCTGAAAATTATATCAATTAATCATAGAGTGATCTCAAGATTCAGGAAATTGAAATATCTTGAATTCAGGGTAAGATGGCCATATTACTGTTAGTAAATGATTTTAATTAATCATAACAATCCAAGTGAAATAATGGAATAATTTTTTATACATTCAATCGCGCAATTTTAAAGACCAATATTTATCCATATGATTTAAGTAGTACGAATCAAGATCAAATCAGACATTAAATATCTTTGATACTTTTTTTTCATTTTATTCATTATTTTTATCAAGTATATACTAATATTAATTAAAAAAAACTGTAATAAAGTATTTTATAGTAAAAAAAAGTTTTTATTCTAGTAAAAGTGATTCAGGTAATATTTGTAGATGGAATGAGTTTGTATATCTTAATGGATTGAATGTATATTGTTGTAAAAATTATTATCATAGTGTTATTACTTATAGTACTAAGAAGTTTAGTTATAAAAGATATAAAAAATTCGATAATCCAATACTTTAATAGATAAACTTACTTTTCTAATTCTCTCAATTTGTTATATTGCGAGATTAATTCATAAAACGCCTCTGGGTCATTTTCCAGCTGATCTAAATATATTTGCCTCTCTCTAGATAAACAAAATAGATTATTATTCATTATTATACTTATTTTAATCCTTGTCTATAATAATAAGTATTAACAAAATATGAACAAACTTTGCAGATATAAAAAAAAATTTCAATAAAATAACTCATTGTTCTACTTAATAAATCCTTCAGTAATATTACTTAATCTTTTGGACTTTTAAAAAAATTCATTCATCTATATTGACGACAAATAATGTTTGTTTTACAACAACTGAAATAATATTTTGATTGTTACTATGGATTAAAAGAAAAAAAACAAATCAAATGTTGTAGAATTTGTTATATATTTACTTACTGAGAATATGGTGCTGCTTGACTTGCGGTTATTATAACTGCGATAACACACACAGTCATCCAGATCATAACGACGTTTTTTTGCATTTTGAGTCAATCTGTAATGTATAAAACTATCATAACATTTATTACACTCTAGTGATATTGAGATCAGATAAAATAAATTAACTTCTTTTTCTGATTTTCATTAACTATTATTGAGGGTAGATGTTTATCAGCATTCAAAGAATTGATTATATTGTACCAACCAAACAAATGTTGGAAAATATTTAGGGTAAAGAAACTCAAAGTACTGTAAATAGTGTTTCAGTGATACTAATCAATATTTAGTTTGAGTTGGAAACATAATTAATTAAAAGAAAATTATTCAACATGCTATAAAAGCAAAGCTCGTTTTAATTAACAAAAATTACCAAACTCACTGTATTTATAATAAAAAAAAAAAAAAATTTTTTTACTTCTAATACTAAAATTAGAATTATTTTTTCACATAAAATTGTCATTCTAGAAAATTATTTTAATCGATATGACTTAAGTAGTACGAATCAAGTTTTAGTCAGACATTAAATCCCTTAAATAATATTTTTAAAATATTTTGAAAGAATTTCGGAAAAAGGGTAAGCTAGATAATACTTTTATTATTTATAATCTGCTTTGTATGAGATAGGAAGAAAATTTTTTTTTTTTTTTAATATGTATATGCATATGTATGCTCTAGTCTCTGTGTAGTATTAAAACTGCGATAGCTTGAATAACCTCGTAGCAAAATTTTATCGCAGCTGTGGAAAACAGAGCTATTGAAGTTCAACTACGATAATATATAATAAGAAATCCCAGGTTATTGTTGGATAAATATACAGTATAAAGCCTGGTGGGCATCTATGGCTACTCCTGATAAGAATTAATCGACGGGTGCAGTAAATGAGTAACCGCACCCTAATTCAACCCCTTTTGTAAAGGAAATTCAACTACAAAATGCTCTATTTTGATAGAAAATGATGTTTTATATAAGATAATTTATATCCTTAATCTTGAATAATTTCCTTCATGTACTTCTCATCGTTTACAAAAAAAAAAAAATTCCATTGTAGTGTTTAAAATTGAAAATTTTCCTCTTCATAAAAAGCTTATCGTTATTTATTTATATCATTATTAATTATTGAGAAATAAATTTTTTAAATGAATTCAAACAAAATTAAAAAAAAAAAATGTACTAGAATTTTAAAATAATAATTACTCAAAAAATAATTTAGATGAACTAATATTCTAATTAAGCCATTTAAACTAGTTATTTTTACTTGTTCAACAAAATAAATTACTGAATTAGTAAATAATTACACAAAGTTTACTCTCACTTTAAATCAAATAAAAAATTCATTTATTTTATTACCATAATTAATTTTTTTTTTTTACCCTACTTTTAAATTAAATTGATCTCTTTTTAATGTTCAATTTGAAAGATTAAAAAAAAAGGGTTTGTAGTTTGGTAAACAATTGATGTAAAACACGATGAACAATCGATGTATGTACATGTACAGTTTAACCGCAATTGATATTACATGATGAAGCTACACAATTGATAATGAGACCAATTCGCCTTTATCTGTGATTCTATACTTGTACCGAGCTTGTTAATTTTCTCTATTTCATTTGTTCTACCTTCCGATACATTGCTTGGCAATTATTTCTAATGAAGGGTAATAAATTTTGCATTAAATCCCATCAATCTTTCCTCTCTCTCTCTCTATTTTTATTTTCATACATTAAAAAGCTCGCAAAATTAATCAATCACAATTGCACGTCATAAAAGCTGTTATTGTTTTAAAAACGCAAAAATGTACAGGAAAAATTTAATTATTTAATTGAAATATTTGTTTTTATTTTTTTTTTTTTACATTTGTTGTTGAATGAATATTTTTAAAATAATAGGATTAAGATAATCAAAGTAAAATGGATGAAATGATAATGATAATTGAGAATAGTATTGATAAGATAAATTGTTAACATATGACAAACTGTAGTTTCACAGAGTCTCCAGAGTAACTTTGGCATTAATTCAAAACTAAATAAACTAAATGGAGACACAGAACAATCAAGCCAACGACTTCGTCGTAACCAACAAGTTTCAATTAAATGACACGCTCACTTAATTCACTAGAGATACCTCCTTTGATACTTATATTTCACTGCATCTCAGTCTCATTAATTTCGTACTTTTTTTTTTTTTACTAACTTTAATTTTCGTTGCTTAATCGTATTTTGTTAACATTTATTTATTTTTTTTCTTCATTTTACTTCGAATTAATGAAAAATAGATTTTTCAGGAAAATTGTAATTTCCTGAAAATATTGAAAAAAATTAAATCTTTTCAAAGCTTGCAAGCTCTAAAAAATAATCAATTTGAATATATATTCATATTTCACAGACACTAAAAAATACTAATTAGTTTCCTTAAACGTCCAGAAGGATGTGTAAAATTTAATATTCTGTTTTTAATAAAAAAATTTTAATTAAGTAATAATTAAAGCTGATGACATTAAACCGTATTTCCATACAATAATTTTTCTTATATTCATTCATTATTCTGTTCAGAATAAAAAATTATAACCTTACTTATTACGCATTTGAATTGAAAGTATCAAGCAAGTAGTATGAATCAAGCTTTAGTCAGACTCGAGGTATTTATCGGCAATAAAATTAAATACAACACTAGTTACATGTAACCTACGTTGTTAGCAGGGTATTGTGATGTGTTTTAGCACGGATATGATGATCACCATCAGCATGTTAACAACGAGCGTAGAAAGTTGGCGTGATGCCGGAGAATAAAAGTTAAACGAGCTCGAGACTGAGAGGGCAAATGATCGTGTGTGTGTGTGTGTGTGAGAGAGAGAAAGAGACAGTTTCAAAGGAACAATGAGTTGGGTTGTGTCATGGCAAGAAAAGTTATGACGCATTTGAGGAGTCCAGCTTGCTAACAAACTATTCATACTCGTAACTTCAAGTCCCTTTTATTCTGTACTGAAAACAAAAAAGTGGAAAATACTCGACTTTCTTTGTCTTATTCCCTGACTTATAGAAGCAACTTTACTGCAACATAAGGGTTACACGTGTTGGATTTACCTACGAATGTGACATTAAATATATATATATAAATATGACGTAAAAAGTCAGCTGATTGGTATTGAACTTCATGACAATATCTTTAAAAACTACGCATCGTTTTTCATTTAGAATTATTGTCAGTTAAAAATTTTTGAGTTAATTTGAGTAAGTTTTTTTGTCAAGGGATTTTGATCTTTCTTCTAGAGAATTTAAGTATTATCTAGGGAAATTTATTTCTTATCCAATTATTCCTAGCTAATGGTAATTCATTTTTTATTCAAGAAAATTTTTTAGAATTTTATTTTTTCTAGAAAAATTCGATGGTTTTCTTCAAATCAAACAAGTTATTTAAAAAATCGAATAACAATACCTTGACGTCATGAATTTTGATAATTTTTTTGCACTAATTAAATGGTAATGTGAAGATAATAATTAATATTTTAAAATAACGAATTAATTAGTTATCAACTAATGAATTAATTCAACACTGTTAAATAGATCTTTTGTTTCAAAAAATACAATTAAATAATTTTTAGAATTTTATGAAAAAACTGAATATTTAGTTGATTTACAAATAAAATAAAACTACGACATTGATATCGTTTAATTATGTCACGTTAATAGGACATATTGTCACGCATAACTGACGGAATAGCTTTATGAGCGATTTATTGAGATACATGTAGATAGAATGAAATCAATTATCAGTTATTTCACTAACTCATTGCATGATTAACACCCACCTACTGATACACGTGATTGCATCCTCTCAGATGAAATTCCAATAAATTCCACTAATATCAATCAACTCGATATCTCGTGATAAACACGTTTATTTAACCATTTATAAAAAATCAATCAATGTATTTTTAATAATCAACCAAATTATTGTCACGACAATTTATTGATTGGTATCATCAAACCTATATTCATGTTTTATACTAATCCATCATCTACTGGTGCATGGAGAAAACATAGTAAATTTGGAGTTCTTGTAAGTAAACTTGAGACTTGAAAGGTGTCTTAGTAAAAGAATTACTTAAGGTAACCCAAAATTTTACTGTTGAACAGAAATATTTTTATTTATGAATTTCGAAACGTTGGCTTGTCACTTTTTGCACTTACATTTAGTGAAAAAATTCTTTCCGTGCAATAAAAATTCTTAGACCCAAAAATAATTGTCTGACCTTAAAAATTTTAATGGGTTACCGAGTGAATTTTTACAGGGCTACATTACAACTTTTTCTTGTAAAAATTTTATTATGAATAAAAATTTTAAATTATACAAAAATAAAGATAAAATATTACAATTTGAATGTGTATACACATACACATTGCCTTTAAGAAGACACAAATTTTTTTAAAGATCCTACGTTAATTTTTAATAATAATTCTAAGAAGTTTAGTGAGTAAATAAAAAAAAACTAATTACTTAAAAAATTAAATTTTAAAATTGAATAAAAATATTTTTAAAATAATTCAATCAAAATTTTTCTAGAGTATTCAGCTGATTTATTAATCCAGTACTGTACTTAATAATGAATCAAGTCATGGTTAAATTTGAAATGTTTTTACTCAACATATCAAGCTCGTTTCAGTTGGTAGATAATTATGCAAAATTTACTTGGTGACCCAGTAAAAATTCTTAGACCCAAAAACAATTGTCTGTATTTAGGACGATTGATTGTCCATACACATTGCCTCTAAGAAGACACAAATGTTGGTTTTAGAATAATTAACCTAGGGTTATTATTTATCATTATACTAGAGATTTACTGATTTAAGATATTCAAATTAATTTTTTGACTGACAGTTTTTATTTTTACTTCACTCAATCGTACCTAAAGTAATAATAATAATAATAATAATAATAATAATAATAATAATAATAATAATAATAATAATAATAATAATAATAATAATAATAATAATAATAATAATAATAATAATAATAATAATAATTCACTGTAAAATTTGTAAAAAAAAAAAATTTTTACTCTTTACAGTAAA